ATTTATTTAAAATTTAAAAAAAATTAAATTTATTCAAAATTCAAAAAGATTCAAAATTCAATTTGTTTAAAATTCAAAATTTAATTTATTTAAAATTTAATTTATTTAAAATTCAATTTATTTAAAATTCAATTTATTTAAAATTCAATTTATCTAAAATTCAAAATTCAATTCGTTTAAAATTCAACATTAATTTATCTAAAATTCCCCAAAAAATAAATTTATTTAAAATTCAAAAAGATTCAAAATTAAATTTGTTTAAAATTCAAAATACAATTTATTTAATATTTAAAATTAAATACTAAATACAAAAAATTGATATCAAATACAAAAAATTAAATTAAACTCAAAAGTTAAATATTAAATTTAAAAAATAAGATATCAAACTCAAAAGTTAAATATTAGATTCAAAAGTTAAATATTTAATTAGAAATTTAATTCAAATGTTTAATATCTAATTCAAAATTGAAAATAAAATTGCCCATAACAGAAGTGAAATGTTATCTAATGTTTTTGAAATAACATAAAAGGGTCATTTAAACATGCATTATGCAAGAGCTAAATCTGCCTATTTCAGGTCTTTCTTTAGGCCTGAAATGTTATCTAAATTATTAATTAGACATTAATTAACCTATCCAGGCCATAATCAACTCTAGATCTTTAGTGGATTGCAAGCCGATTTACTGCGTAACTTTCCTTCTCTATTAAACGATAATCGAGACTATGCTGTTTATCGTACCGACTTTAGTAATGATGACCGAGGCTTATGGGAATTTCAGTCGCTTAGTTCTCAGTTCATAGTGGATCAATTTGAATGAAATTTTCACCAAATTGCCTTTACATTATCTAGTTTTTAAGTATTATCGTGAGAACTGCCAACTCGTTACCGAATCTCCCATAATGTATCTTTAAGCTTAGCAAACGATTATATAATAACTCACCAGGTTTCTTAGCCTTAAGAAGGTTTTTTTTATATAATTATCGTCCCCGACATACAGAACGAATGTTGACAGTCGATTATTTTAGGTTGATGAAAGTCGTCCAAACAAATACTACACACCTCTTTGTCGGTCTGTCCAGTCATGCTGAATGTCTTGTAAACCACTGGATGATTCGAGACTGGACAGAACTCCAGAGGGAGGCAGGTCGCTTACCAATCGCAAGGATTAATACAATGTGTTTTAAGGCACATAGAAAAAGTGTACACGTCTAACAATTTCTCAGAAAATCGACTTTTACTTTCCACCTGAAATAACTTGCAGCTGTCACACTAGATGCACAGTTAGAATATCATCAATCATCAATGTGCATACTATATTAAGTGAATTATATAATTGTATGTGTTCTATTTACAGTACAATCAAGCATGTAACGCTTCGTTGCCCACTCGCGGCCTATTTTAATAGAAGGACGGGCCGCTTTGTACCTGTCTGGTTAAAGAACCTATGTAAACCTATAATGTCACATTGAAGGTAAACCTCTCCCAAAACGCAAATGAACTAATTATATATTAATATTTAAAGCAATCGCAGGTTTGAATTTTCTTCTAGGACAATAGACAGTTCAGCTCAACAAACCATAGAATAACAAACACTACTTTAATAGGAATAGTACCACATAGGTGTGTTAGCCTTATAAAAGAATTTGCCTTTATCTAACAACACCCTAAAGTCTGGAACAAGGAATTGGGTAGGCGCGGGGGGGGGGGGGTCTCCAAAGTCCATATTTGCTGCTAAGCGAGACAATGTGATGGTTAATTTGATTTCCAGGTTTCAGTTACTTCAAGCTCCGAGTTCACAAGACATTCTCAGACTTAAGTTAAGAATTTAGTCATAAGTGTTCGCCTTATTTTAACTAAAATATACCCCTTTATAAAACTTAGAAACCATATACAAAGTTTTCTGTTTCTGTATCAAAGATATTTCTCATAAACTTAACTTAAAGACACATTAGCTAAGGGTTTAATAACGAGTTTGCCATTCTTGCTATAATAATTCAAAAGTAGATGATAAACACAAGAAAATATTGAAATTTTCAGTCAAATTACTTTATTCTAAACGGAGTTGTCATTGTTGGACGTTTGTCCTAGAAATAGGCATCAACCGTGTCCGCGCCGTCTACAAGAATTGCCGATCGCTTAATTGACAGACGATAACTCCATCCACATATTCTCGATTATCAAGTAACATTCTCAATGGCTACGGTACCCTGGCTTGACAGGCCTTTCATCGGTAGTCTCCAGTAGTGACGTCAGTGACTAACGGTAAACGTTAGATTTGTCAGCCACTTATTGATTTAATTTTAAATGGACGACTGTTTAAATCCAAGCTGTATCCAAACCACCCGAGGGTCTACAGAGTTGATGTTGAGCTTTTCATGTAACGGTAAACGTTAGATTTGTCAGCCACTTATTGATTTAATTTTAAATGGACGACTGTTTAAATCCAAGCTGTATCCAAACCACCCGAGGGTCTACAGAGTTGATGTTGAGCTTTTCATGTAAATAAAGGTCTAATTAATAATTTCTATAACATAGGAAGTCTAAATAAAGACTTGCAACAGGCAGATTCAGCTCTTACATAATGTATGTCAGGCTGGGAATGTTTGGTGAACGTGGGGCCAGAGCAAACTGATCAGAAGTAAATATTCACATGGCCGCTACTGACACTGAAGGAGGTGACATTATTATTCTTCTGCAAATTAAATTCTAAAACAATTTTTTAAATTATTTAGAACAAAAATACAGACGTTGGAAGTATTTCTGGATAAAAAAATTCTTATTTAGTGTAAGTGAGTATATACATAAAATAGTACGCGAAGGTATAAAATGAGGAAAACGCATATAGCACGTGAACTTGAATGTCAGTCATCTTGTAGGGTGTTAAAAGATTAACTTCAGCCTAAACACCACCAGAGTACGATTATTGATTGGATTCTCGGCTAGATTTCAACCCATGTTACAACATGCATCATTACCACAAGGTGTAAACTAAGACGCCCTATTCCCTATTATTAGGGTTTACAACATGGCTATTTGCCATCAGGTGTGAATTAAGACGCCATCTCCCCCCCCCCCATTATTGTTACAACATGCATCATTACCACAAGGTGTAAACTAAGACGCCCTATTCCCTATTATTAGGGTTTACAACATGGCTATTTGCCATCGGGTGTGAATTAAGACGCCATCTCAACCCATTATTAGGGTTTACAACATGGGTCTTTGCCATAAGGAGCGAGCTAAGACGCCATCCCAATTTCATTGTGTTTAGGTCAAAATAAAGTATTGACTTGGGTAGGTCAAACACTGGTTATTTAATCAATAATTCTACTTTAATTATGGGCGTTCAGTTTTATAAAACAAAAGTGATAAACATATAACATGCCATGAAACTGACAATTTTATTTTTAACCCAAGCAAAGAGGTAACAAAATTGTTGATGTACTACCAGAAACTGACATAGTAAATCCAAACAAACATAACATTAAATAGAAATAATCAAATCAATATAATAAATTATCAACATTTGAATTAATAATTCCAATCTACTGGATTACAATTTTATTATTTCTGAATTTGGTCCATCATTGTTAACTAACCAAGTGTCTATCATCTCGGTGTTTCGATAGTTCTTTATATATCAGACAATTATATTCCAAATGGTTATAACCCACTATAATTCCTGGGGCCAAGATGCAGGACGGGGGGAGGTGGGGGGCTAACAAGGACAGTTGTCTAGTCGTTGGGCGAAAAACCTTGGCGTGCTCGTAAAAGATCCCTTGGCAATTGGAATTCGGTATAAGCACTAGGCCATAGTGCTGCTGTCCCGGCAATATTTCCCCTCAAAACGCATTGTATGTCGTATGCCCATCTTCATTAACCCAATCGCAGCAGAACAGTACTATAATTCTAATTGCCATGTACATTTTCCCATTTTCCACTTAAATACACAATCCCGTGTGCCAATACAGACTAATTACTCAAAACATTCGCATGATCTGTTCTCAGTCTACAAACAAAATATGTCAAGTTGATGTTGTACTAGTTAAACAGGTACGAGCATGACGTCATCTCAGACATTTTGGAATAGAGACGGCATAATTGAGAGAGAGAGAGAGAGAGAGAGAGGGGGAGATAGAGAGAGAGAGATAAGATTTAACGTCCACTCGACACATACTAGGTCATTTCGGGACTAACACATGGTTCAACTTTATTTCAACAATTCGCGTAGGGGTCTTTAGCAGTCGGAGGAAACCGGAGGACCCGGAGAAAACCCACGAGGTGTCTAGTAGAACCGCGGAATCGAAACCACGCCAGTTCACTCAATAACAGGCCTTATGATACAGCGCGCACATACTAACCATTCGGCCATCCACCCCCCGGCATAATTAAGACCTGATTGTCATAATTAACGTCTGATCGCCGTAATTCATATATAGGAATTTATAAAATATATTATAGACAGAGCAGTACAAACTGTCCGGCTAAATATCTGATTGAACACAACAATGATATTAAAAAAGGAAATCGCAAACTCTGTCACAACGACATATATGCACCAGGAGCCAAACGTAATCAGAAAAACTGTTAGCTTTGTGATCCTGTCACAGATCAACATCTACTCACACAGCTAAATCCAGTGATATCAGCTGTTCCATGAAGAGTAAGCATACACTTGCTCAGGCACGACAACTGTAACAATAATTCGCTACAAGGTTAAAAATGGGACACAGCGTCGCGTTCATTCTCTACTTTTTCTAGTAAAAGTGTGATATTCGGGCACCACTCTCCCTCTCCAAGTATCAGAACCATTATCATCAAATCTAGTCGTACCAAATATCTAAATATCAATTCATAATCAAAGTCTAAAGTTGAAATTCATAATCAAAGTTTAAAGTTAAAATTCATAATCAAACTCTGAGGTTAAAATTCATAACCAAAGTTTAAAGTTGAAATTCAAAATCAAAATAATAGTTTAAAAACTACTAAAATCAAAATTGAAATATTAAATTTAAAATAAAAAAAAAATTACATAAAAAAAATATTAGATTAAAAACTATTAAAATAAAATTTGAAATATTAAATTGATCTCACCAGGCACATTGTATGAAGTGTATTCTGTTATGTTATTTATTATAATCCTGTTACACGTTTGATAAAAGATACATTATGGGAGATTAGATAAAGAGCTGGTAGTTCTCATTAGTTAAAAACTAGATAATGTAAAGGGTATTTGCTGAAAATTTCAGTCAAATTGATCTACTCTGAACCGAGATTTTAGCGATTGAATTTTCGGCCTAGCCTCGATCATCATTACTAAAGTCGGTACGATAAAAAAAAACATAGTCTCGATTATCCATTTCATGATTAAATCATGAATGAAAGTTGAGCAGCAAATCGGATCTTAATCCAATAAATAGCCCAGGCTAGCGTTGGCATCGAGACTTGATTATGGTCTGGATAAGTTAATTAATGTCTAATTAATAATTCAGATAACATTTCAGGCCCAAAGAAAGACCTACCTGCAATTGGCAAATTTAGCTCTTGCATAATGTATGTTTAAAATTCCCGATGATTCAGGATAAACACATAAAATACATCAATAATATATCATCGAGTTTTAATAATCTGTTTCCATATGGTATCAAGTGTTAAGTTTAGAAATTTCAATTTTCTTAACTTTAACAGTAGCTTTTATAATGAAATTATCGTCTTTGTCAAGGAATCCATTTTGTTTGTTTGCCAATTCCGTCCAGTATGCCATGGCACGTGTACCACGTCCTGTTGTAGTTGTCTTGGGTGTGATGGTGTAGTCAAAATCCCGTGTTTCTGATCTGAGGTTGTTTTTATTAACCAGGGTCAGTTTGCAATTAACTGTACAGTTTGTATTTTCTACTTTAGCCCAATACAAATAAACACCTAACGATGGTTTATCGTTAAAACGCCCCTTTTGAACGGCTACTTTCCACGGTTGACCCATAATAATATAATCAACCCCTTTAACTTCATCTTGTACTGTCTGGAAGTTAAACTGGGTTATGAAAGTTGGTCCTGTTAAATTCTCCAATATTCCTAGTTGTTTTTTAAGAACATCTTCATCAATGACGGTTTCTTCTAACCACGTGTATTTTATTTCAGGCATGTTCAAATTTTTCAAACTATTTTCTTTCTTCACTTTTTCGACACTCTGTGCTTTGTTTAAAACCTGGGCCGTTGACTGACTGGTATCTTCTAAAATATCTCCAGAATTTTTCACCAGGGTCTTTAAATCGTCTATTAATGACTTCATATCACCCATGAGCTTAGATATTTTGTTTAGCTCATCATCACGTAATTTCAGGATCTCAACTTGGACCTCTTCTCCCAATCGTCTGATACAAAGACATATTTGTTCGATTCGTTGCTCGACACTCTGGCACGAGACGTCTGCAGATTTGTTTATATCTGCCATAATATGAGTTAAGTTGTCGTAGTATTTTTCAAATTCTTTAATCTGAGATTGTAGATCACCCTGTAGAGATTTCAGGTCTTCTCGGGCCTTGGATTGTATCTTAACATCTTGTAAATCGAGAAAATTATGGTCTTTATGGCTGAACAAGGTACAATCGGAACAAATTGCAACACGGCAATCTTCACAGTAACATCTCGCTTCCTTGACTTCGTGATTGGAACAGAAATCTTTATCACGTGACACTTGTGAATGCTGAACGTCACCCGTTCTAACAACCACGTGATCTTTACAGACTTTTAACTTATCATGCGTCGTTTTACATGAGTCGCATAAATACTGTTCACAATCTTTACAATTAAACATAGATAAATTATTTGTACAAACGTCACACTGTGGAATAATTTTGGAATTGTCCCCATTGTTTGGTTTGAGTTCATCATATTCAGTCACGCCACCGGCTGGAATCGGAAATTCTTGACGGCACAGTGGACACAGGAACTGGCCATTAGTAGAAGTTTTGTTAACGTAATCTTCTAGACAGGTCAAACAAAACGAATGCTGACAGTCGATTACTTTAGGTTGATGAAATTCGTTTAAACAAATACTGCACACGTCTTTACCCGCCTGTTCAGCCATGTTGAAATTGTTTACAAATCGCTGGATAAGTTAATACTTGACAGAACTTTAACATCAACGGTAGCGGGTCGCCTACAAATTACACAGACTTCGGTCAAATGGTTTACATGACTTAGAAACCCACCCAACAACAGTTCACATGCGCAAACCTGTTACATTTTCTTAGAAAGTCCTACTTTTACTTTCGTTTTAAATAACTTGTCACACTGGATCTATATTTAGAATAAGGTCACGTATAGGGTGTATTAAGTAGTGAATATCAGTGTATGTTAATTGTATGTATTACTAACATGACACATATTTATGTACGGGGTGAACAATGGTCTCGTTTTATACCCGTGTAACTCGTAACGCGATCTATTTTAATATGAGCGCGGCTGGACAATGGTCTCGTATTGTACCTGTGTAACACGGTTGGATGGCCGAATGGTTAGTACGTACGTGTGCGCTGTATCATAGTGTCTGTCATTGAGTCAACTGGCGTGGTTTCGATTCCCCGGTTGTACGTGGCAAGGAGTAGGGTCGCCTGTCCAACCCCGTGGGTTTTCTCCGGGTTCTCTGGTTTCCTCCCACTGCCATAGGCGTACGGGGAAATTTTTGACTGGGGGGGGGGGGGGCAGTGGTGGTTGGTGCCCAAAAAATGTAGTTATGTTCTTAGTATGTTACATAATAATAATAAATTCGCTGTTAAATTGGACACATTCAAAAAGACAATTATTTTTTTATACAACTTTTACAAAGTACAATTGTGTGCCCAAATTTTCCCAGCATTTGGTGCCCAAAATGGGGGGGCGGCCGCCTCCCCCCCAGCCCCCCCCCCCAGCTCGTAAGTCTATGCCCACTGCTAAAGACCCCTACGCCCAAGCAAAGTTTTCAAATAAAATTGAAACATGTGTTAGTCCCGAAATGACCTAAGTTTGTGTTGAGTGTACGTTAAACCCCCACCTCTCTCTCTCTCCCTCTCTCTCTTTCTCTCCCTCTCTCTCTCTCTCTCTCTCTCTCTCTGTACATGTGTAACTCTTAACGCGTAACACGATCTATTTACAATGAGAGGGGATAGGCTATGGTCTCGTTTTAGAATCTATCTGATCATACAACTAGTACTAGTGTGTAAGGGCTATGTCTAATTACTAAGGCCAACTGCAGATTTCTTCACGGTCGCGAGAGGTAAATATGATTAGGGCACGTGATTGTTGACGAGGCTGGGTTAGGGCTACGTGTAGTTCTATTCACGTTGCCTTCACTTCCGTGACTAAAATTATAACTACATTTAAAGATACATTATGGGAGATAAGATAAAGAGGTGGCGGTTCTCGTTATAATAGTTAAAAACTAGATAGTGTAATGGTAATTTGCTGAAAATTTCAGTCAAATTGATCCACTATGAGCCGAGAAAGAAGCGGGTGAAATTTTTGCATAGTCTCGGTCATCATTACTAAAATCATTAATATAAACAGCATAGTCTCGATTATCCACTTTTATTGATTTAATTATCAATAGCCGTTAGCGGCATATAGGAATTTAATCCAGCCAACATCGAAGGCTAGCCTTGACATCGAGAGTTTATTATGGTCTGGATAGGTTAATTAATGTCTAATTGATAATTTAGATAACATTTCAGGCCTAAAGAAAGACTTGTAATAAGCAGATTTTGCTCCTGCATAATGCATGTTTAAGGTTTTGTTTCTTTCTGGGTTTTTTATTTGTATAAAAAACCTTTTAGCATTAGTCACAAATCTTCTTCGTTCTCAATTAAGTAAAATGAATATTATGACAAGCGGTGTAGGTTCTGCCAATATACTAACCCCCCCCCCCACTCACTTTTATAGTGCCCACACCTTAATTAGTTTGCGTCACAGACTGACCACGGTCCCAGTTTACATATATGGAATAGGCATACCCCCCTACGATGAACTGTGGGAGGGACGTATTACTAAATTAGGTCAAGAGACACATTGCATTCCTGACCATGAAGATGACATATTATGACAAATGTGTTTATTTTACCTGAAACTATTAATTAGACATTGATTAACTAACTTATTAAGACCATAATCAACTGTCGATGCCATCGGATACTCGAGATTTTAATTAGATTAGAACCGTTCGCCATTTAAAAATATAATCTAAAAATGGGAGGCTAAGTCTCAAATATACCCGTGGTCGGGTTCCCGCAATGCACACATCTTGTCAAAACTAGAAACGGTGATAACTTGGCTCAGAATAAAGTAATTTGAGAGAGAGAGAGAGAGATGAGGTTTAACGTCCATTTGACACAAACTAGGTAATTTAGGTAACATATGTATCAACTTTATTTCAATAGAAGTAGGTGGAAACCAGCGGACACGGAGAAAACCCACGAGATTGGATAGGCGACTCTACTCCTTGCGTACAAGGGGGGGGGGGGCAATCAAAATCCCGCCAGTTGACTTAATGACAAACCTTATGATTTCGCGCACACGCGTTAAACCACTATTCAATGACGGTCCACCCGTGTGTAAATACTGGCCTGCACAGACACTAACCCTTGTCAGTTGAATTTGAAGGGGAAAATGGGCGTGGTGTTTTCAAGGTCCAATATTTAAGATAACTTAATTTTCAAACTAAGCTTGTCTTTGAATAGTAGAAAACGGGGGATAGGCTAAGTTTAATATTTTTACAACTGGTTATTTTTTTCATGCTATCATAAACATAAAACTGTTAATCATGCGTACTTGCGCATCATTATGGTGGGGGGGGGATTAAATGCTTTGTAATGACGTACTTTAATAGTGTACAAAAAAGGCTATGAGCCGGTTAAGGTTAAAAATAAGGACGGTACCAATCATAGGGCGTGTATATGACGTCAGTAGGATGAACGGATTATGACGTCAGTTATTCAGTGGCGTGATCGGTGGTAAACCGATATTTATTGTCTTTTGTTCGGTGTATTTGCATTACGAGGTCAGTGGTTAAAATGCTCATTTGCGTCCAATCAGAATCCACGAAATTTTAATTTTGGGCGTCAGCAATCTATAAATAACTGTTTGGTTATGTAATATACCGTGTAAATATATGATTATATGTTTAGGACAATTAATACGATATCATCCCTACTCGATTTCGCAATAGATAAACAATTAAAGCACACAGTAAGGTGAAGGCCGTTCAGGTAATACCATGGACAGTATAATATGCCTATACGGTCCATGGTAATACATTACTAGTGACGACACTGTAGCCTGCATTGTATATATATATATTAGGCTACCTAATTCTTATATCCCCAGACCATGGTCAGCTTGAAGTCGTAAAACTATAAATTATATGACTTTCTGAAGTATCAACGGCACGGCTCTAAAATGAATCAAACAGAGACTGGTAAAGGTAAGATTGTTGTTAATTTGACATAAAAGAAAGACTGAGTTTAAAACGACATATACACCACGCCCGATTTAATATCGATCAACTCGATTGTCAAGTCTCTATAACTTTATAGGTCTGAGACGTGGAGGCAAACTAGCCGCAAACTAATGGCTGTGATGGCAAGGTCTAGTTAGTCACCGAAGCCTGTTTTAGAAGGGCCCTGTCTATAAAATGACCAGAACGTATCTAAAACTGGGAACTGTGGTAAATCACAAATCAGAAACACTTTCAGTGAATCCGTAAAAGCCCGTACAAACTGTAGATTTGGCATCTAAAATCCACGCCCAAACCGTTGCCCCATTTAGCTATAAAGGTGGCTGTGGTGCACGGGGCAGGGTATGTCCTCTTTCTAGAACACCCGATATCACTTCACATTTGAGGTGTTTACATATAATACTAACAGAACATCGTATACCACTTATAATATCGTTGGTAAGCATACGCTGATATAATATTGTTGTAGCTTATTCCAACACTAACTCGTCGTTAGTGTCTGAATAAATAATTTTAATTGTACTTTTAATAAACGAGTGTCAAGAACTGGTTAACGGTAACAATAACGAGATAGTTATCGCTAGGGCGAGTCGGTCACCAGACTAAAGTTACAGTAGAATATAGAACATATATACAAGCTTAGGATTAAAATAATTATATAATAATATTTGACCAGAAATGTTAAATTGTACATAGGAAACAGATGTTTAAATAGAAAAAGATATGGACATAGCAAGAACGCGTGTTAACTATAATTACGTAATATATATTGTTAAATTAAGTATAAACCCAAACAGTTAAAAGACTTGAAAGTTTAGCGTGATATCAATTCGGACATTTGTCAATTACTACTTTAACTAAAATTAAAAAATAAAATATATATAAAGATACACTATAACATATGAAGAGCCCCGGAGAAGAACGATCTAAGTCACTTTTTCAATGAACCTCAGTTAATGGCGCCATCTGGTAGCAAATTGTATAAGCTTTCTCTGGGACAATCAATTTCAGGTAAAAAAACGATCGGAGTCACATCGAACCAAGGCCCTTCTGAGATGGCCTCCCTGACAAAAACAAGTCCATCGTGTTTATTTGACCTTAATTTGGCTGCTGAAAAGTGGAAATCAGTTGTTGTACTGGTAATTATGATTTGTATTAAACATCATTTTGAAGTTGTAATTAACCCCAGTCGTTGTTCTGTTCGCGTCAAGCATTCTCGTCCAAAAGTCTTTTTGCTTTTTATACGAAAAGACAAAAATGTGACTTAGATCGTTCTTCCCCCGGACTCTTCACATGAAAGTGGGGTCGCTAACCTGGAGGTCTCCGCGTGTTCGATCTCGATGTTCACCTCGAAAGTTTATCGGGATTATGCGGCATGGCGTCCTTTTGTCAGTGGTGCAGTAGGCCGTTCTGCCGCATTCCGGGCAAAATGTCCCTGCATGGCGTAAGCTCGTCTTCATCAGTCTTTTCGGTACAGAACAGTAGGACGTTAAACCCTATAAAAGGGGGTGGTTTTCATTAGTTGTATACATTTTTCAGAGGCTTTGAGGCAGAAGCGTCTATTGGGTTTCCAGAAGCTGCGTTCAGTCAGTTTTCTACAGATTGTGTTAGGCTCGATATCTGTTATTATTGGTGCTATAGCTCTGTATTATACCAGTGCCAATCCCGCTTTACCTTATACTGCTGCCGTACCTGTCTGGATGGGCATACTGGTAAGTACAAGTTCGTTCTAGATGGGTATACTGGTAAGTACGAGTTGATTCTAGATGGGTATACTGGTAAGTACGAGTTGATTCTAGAGGGGTATACTGGTAGATACGAGTTGGGTCTAGATAGGTATACTTGTAGATACGAGTTGGGTCTAGATAGATATATTGGTAAGTAAGAGTTGATTCTAGATAGTTATACTGGTAGATACGAGTTGATTCTAAATGCGTTTATTCTGGATACAAATATTGGTAGTAAATGTCCGATTTTGGACTGCATTGGTACAGCGTATGCTTGGAGTGATTATCTATAATAAAGCGTATGTTTTATCTGTGGGAAGGTAGTTGTCATGTAGGCCTATGTAATTAAGGCCACGTCACGCGAAAACAATGTCCGTGGAAAACATGGAGGCTAAACGGACATCGTTTCCCATCTGTGTTTACTGTTCCCAAAATGTCGACAAGTTGCTTTCATTTCGGACAAAAATTAACATGCACGTTCTTTGCGACATTGTACATGACGCACGTGGATACCTTCAACAATTAATATCCGCAACATTTGTGGCCTAAATGTTACCCACAAATTTGTCCCACCCTTATGCAATTTATAATTATAGGTAATTCTCTCCGGTATTTTGGGATTGTTAGCTGGTAAAAATGGTGCTACCGAGACAGAAGTTTCTATTAAAACTAAAAGTTAGGTAAGTAAATAGTATAGATATTCAGTTTTTCAGTGTGCGGCCATCTTGAAATCCCGTTTTTGGGCTGCGAAAGTCACAAAAACATGTCTGGGGCTATAAGTGGAAACTATACCCAAACATCTAAATTAACTAAAACACAAGGAAAACACCCGACAAACAGATTGTCGTACACGTAAAATAACCATTGACAGTTTTTCAGTGTGCGGCCATCTTGAAATCCCGTTTTTGGGCTGCGAAAGTCACAAAAACATGTCTGGGGCTATAAGTGGAAACTATACCCAAACATCTAAATTAACTAAAACACAAGGAAAACACCCGACAAACAGATTGTCGTACACGTAAAATAACCATTGACAGTTTTAAATAGAAGAGTAGGCGCAAAATACCGCTGTCAGGACAAAAATCTCCTTCCTCCCATTGTACATGTAACATAACCATATTAGTCTCAAAATAACTGAAAATATTCAATTCATTCAATTTCACGCTATGCTACATTAAATGTAGTCTGTGAAGAAAAGTCAACTGGCGTGGTTTCGAATACCCGGTTGTATATGACAAGGAGTAGGGTCGCCTGTCCAACCTCGTGGGTTTTCTCCGGGTCCTCCGGTTTCCTCCCACTGCTAAAGACCCCTACGCCCAAGCGAATTATGGAAATAAAGTTGAACCGTGTGTTAGTCCCGAAATGACCTAGTTTTGTCGAGTAGACGTTAAACTCTCTCTCTCTCTCTCTCTCTCGCTCTCACTCTTTCATTTCTTCCTGTTTTGTTTTTTCAGGTGATAAGTTATTTCGTCATTTGTCTTATTATGGTAACTTTTTGTATCCTGGGCGCTTTAGTTGAAATTGTCGGCATTGTCTTTTGTACTATAGCAGAAACCACCGAAGTGTACAAACTGTGTTTACCTAATAGGACCGGGAATTTAACCATGGCAGTGTTTGGAATGATTATTATGTTGGTTTTGTTTTTATTTTCTATCCTGGGTACCTGCTTCTTCTGTTTGTATGGGCGGTCTTTGGGTTTTAAGAACAGATATGACTATGCAATGGAACGAGGGTATCAAATGGCCCAACAACAACAGCGGCAACAACAACAGCAAGGACAAGATGGCGGCTACACAAACTGGGGTAAAAGCTAACGCGGATGGTATATAATACTTAACAATTTAAGAGCGAGTCCCTTTAAATCCAAATGATATGAAGGGTTTTACAATGAAAGGGATTAGGGTAACTTTGTATAATAAAACAAGCACAGTGGGTGCCGGGTAGCTTCACTGAGATAGGGTAAGGTAATTAATTCTTCTACGTAATTCGTAATCAAGTACCCTTCCTTTCATTTGCTTGATAAATTCTAGAGAATCCCCTAATGGTAGCTGGACCATAAGCAGTAACTGTTTTTCATAGATTAGTAGATTGTCAAAAGAATTTTTTTTTTTGAAGTGATAAGTTCATATTTTTAGGTTATATTTTTAAAATGTATTCAAATAAAGCCTTAAAATAGGTTGTATCTATAAACAGTCCTACCTTGTTAAAGAATAATCCTATTAATCCTATAATTCACTATTGCCAGTTGAGAAATTGGCAAAAATATCATTTTCAACTTCAAATTCAAACGTTTGAAGATAGCTATTCCATGGGGGGGGGGGGGGGGGATTAGAAAAACAAGGGAGGTAATTGTGTTATTATTTCTGGGGTGAATGATTTTTAAGTGTGAGAATGATACCTATGATCATATAATAGTGAGTTGACAACCTATTGAGCAAAAGACATAGAAATAATTATGTTTTGACTTTCTTTAAGTTGTTGTTATATTGTTATTATCAATTACATAATGTTGCATAATTTAATACGATTGTATCATTTGCTTGATGGAAACTAGGTGATCGTAGTGGAAACCTAGGTCGCTGGACAATAAACAGTTATATATCCTGTGTAAATTTATAAAGAATGTTGTAATGAAATGGGGTTTAACGTCCTACTGTTCTGCTTCGACTGGGCTAGTGGACAGTGTGTTTGAGGGAAATTGTGCCCGGGCAGCGGCACTACGGCCTACTTTTATATCGAATTCCGTCTGCCAAGGGATCATTTACGTGCACGCCAATATATACACGGCACCTCTGTTTTTCATCCCATCAGAGCGATTATACGTTGTCTCTTTCCTGCGCCACTGACAAGGGGGAATCAGACCGGAAAATCCCGATGAATTTTCTCGGCCAATGCGGATCGATCACCAGGTGAGCGAGCCAACATCCCACCCGCTGCGTCACCGTGGTTTCAATTCCCCGGTTGTACGTGTCCTTGTAGGGTCGCCTGTCCAACCTTGTGGGTTTTCTCCAGGTCCTCCGGTTTCCTCCCACAGCTAAAGACCCCTACGCACAAGCGAATTATTGAAATTAAATTGAACCATGTGTTAGTCCCGAAATGTCGAGTGAACATTAAACAATAATTCTCTCATACATGTTGTACTTTTAATATCAGCATAGTGTTAATGAATTGTAAATTATCTTCATAATAAGGCATAATAAAATTAATTTTTTTAAAAAACATTTTTGTTAAATTTTTGGTGACGCTAAGGATGATCAGTACAATATTAAAAAATATGTACTGGGGCCTGTTTCACGTGATAAACCCGGTGAAACACCTATAGGTAAATTAAAAACCATAATGCATGTATTATGTAAGATTTAGATAAAAGGCTGGTCGTCTTTGCTATAATAGTTCCAAAATAGATAATGCAAAATGAATATATTGAAAATTTCATTCAAATTACTTTATTCTGAGTGAAGGTATTAGGTTTGACGGTTTGACAAGATGTGTGCACTGATTGTAAACACATTACTGATTTTTAGTGGCTTAACCTCCCTTCACCATTTTAGAATTAAATCATTAAATAGCCGAACTGTTCTAATCTACTTAAAATCGGACCCACCCGACGGCAAAGAGAGTTGATTATGGTCTTGTCATGTTAATAAATGTTTAATTAATAGCTTATATGGCATTTAATTTCTAGAGAAATACCCGCAATAGACGGAAATAGCTCTTTCATAATTTTGAGATAATTGCTGAAATAACACATGTCCCCTACTGACAGCAGAATAGCGCAACTTGTCCGACGGCATAAGTGAGGATTTATCTTTACAGATAAAGATGCTGAAATCTAATGGACAATGGTGGTAAAATCTACAAGTGGTCTGCATCCATAACGAGGTAACAGAGTAGCGCCCCTTCTACTGTATTATTGGATGTATATGACCATTGTCAGTGTATATGTATGCATGCTGTCCTTCATGGACGCTTTGATGCAATAAACATCTTATCTTATCTTATTCCGCCCTAGTGTCCTTGTTCGCACTTTTTTCCCGTATGCAAATGAAGTTCTTGTAGTTGCCATGGAGAATGGAGAGGTGTAATGTGCTAAATAACTATTACAAGTCCCTCTTATACCGTATTTTGTTGGCCCTATAATCGAAAAGTAATTTAACACTGTATAACATTAGTATTGTGGAGCAATGGAAATTTGGGGGGAGCGGGGTGTCTGTCATTGAATCAACTGGCGTGGTTTCGATTCCCCGGTTGTACGTGACAAGGAGAAGGGTCGCTTGTCCAACCTCGTGCGTTTTCTCCGCTACCCCCGGTTTCCTTTCACAAGCGAATTATTGAAATAAAATTGAACCATATTATGTTAGTCCCGAAATGACCTAGTTTGTGTCTAGTGGACGGGTACATCTGGGGCTACTGGAGCTATGATACACCAAACCATTACGGCGACGAAGTTCATTTTGATCTGGAAAACGGTGCAAAACAGGCGGATAAAAATCGCTGGGACAATCCTGAAGTTACGTGGGAATTTGCACCATGCACTGGCAGCAACACATCGTCTCTGTCATCGTGGCATAACTGTGAATGTTCACAGATAGTGTCCATCTTTTAATAAAGATATCAAGATCTCATATAGTTAGAGTGTCTAGTTGTTAGGATCGTATGCAAAACGGAGCCAGATCTGATTACACATTTTCATTCGCCGTTAGATCTAAATTAAGGATCATCCTTATTGTTTATGGTGCATGCCCTATCCCTAGGGGCAGAGTCACACCCATTGTCTCTTTTATGTTGCCTCTAGACCCCAACTCTTAATGGGTCATCTTGAAAACTCCTCATACTTATATGACTTCTCCTCTATTATTTTTCGGTGCATGCCCGATCCCCTGGAAAGAACCACACCCAATTTTTTGTCTGTGTGCCCCTACAGGTCGCAATTCTTGACAGTTATGCTTTCGAAACTGTGCATACCTCTTTTTTTTAATACTCTAAGGATGATCCTATTGTTTGTGCTGAATGCCCGCCATCCATTGTTAAGGAAATTTGACAGTTGACAATGCATGATTACATCATCGCTCCAAATTGCGTAGGTATACATACATTAACATACAGCGATAAAAACTAGGCCTACACAGAAGTTTTTAAAAATAGAGAAATCCAACATCCCTTTTGACATCAATTTTTATCATAAGGCCTGTCATTGAGTCAACTAGCGTGGTTTCGAATCCCCATTTGTACGTGACAAGGAGTAGGATCGCCTGTCCAACCTCGTGGGTTTTCTCCGGGTCCTCCCACTGCTACAGACCCCTACGCGCAAGCGAATTATTGAAATAAAATTAAACCATATGTTAGTCCCGAAATGACCTAGTTTGTGTCGAGTGGACGTTAAACCCCATTTCTCTCTCTCTCTCTTGACATCAATTTTTATTATGAATTAATGTGGACACATTGTGATTCCGTTTCATTGATTTTGAATTCATATGTCTACGCCTATCATTTCAATTTCATTACCTCGCGCATTGAATGCCTATCCCAGCCCACCACATCTGATGATAAAGGATAACGGTTTAAAAATTAAAGCACACGCCAGTGACAATGTTTTGTTTTACATTTTATTTACATGTACATGTAGCTGAGCAGGAGGGGGGGGGGGCTACCCCCAACCCCTTATATATATAGATCCGCCGCTGGTGCACTTTAGCTATATTTAACAAGTGTACAGCACCGTGACAGTTACAAGATTGTCCTTTTATGTTGTCATTGCCATAGCTACGAATAAACGTTACCAAGACAAAGGTTGAAGGTCGCCTGAGTGCGAATATTTATAAACTTATACAATTACTAATATTACTATGATAATGGAGTTTGAAAATGGTTTTATACTAACGTATTTCAGTTTATAAATACATCAAATACCTGCTACAAATAACATGAAACTTAAATCTACAAACAGAATCGGTAATAAAAATGTTTGTTACTAAAGTACGAAACAACGAGAATAGTCAGCTCTGCAGGTGCCCTTTAACCTCTAGGCTTCGTCTAATGAGTATTGGCATGATTGAACCTATCAATGATAGTATTGGTTAGAATTGAATTATTTAGTGTAAATTAAGACGGTGGCTTGTACACATATACACCTTTCAAATAATTTAAAAATCTCCCTGTGGATGGGTAGAAAACCGTCAAAATGACAAGGTAATTATGACATTTAGTATTTCTCGCAATATTTTTTGACAGCTCACTGCAGTGCAGGCATATTATTTTGGAATCCATTGTCTACGCCATGAATGGCATGATGGCACTATGCCAATCCTATGCTGGTATTTATTAGTGGTCTATTGACGAATAATACATGATATGTCATATTATTATAGGCATGCTTTTAGGTATTTAACCTACGTGTCATGTGATTATACTAGGAATATTACATTGCAGTCAATAGCAGAGCCTTCGGCATCATGAATTACATCAGTATTCACCGAGCATAAACTATCATTATATATATAATTTCTTCACAACAATGACAATGACAGGGGGGTGGGTGGGTGGTGGATGGCCGAATGGTTAGCATTGTGCGTGCTGTATCATACGGCCTGTCATTGAGTCAACTGGTGTGGTTTCGAATACCCAGTTGTACGTGACAAGGAGTAGTGTCGCCTGTCCAACCTCGTGGGTTTTCTCCGGGTCCTCTGGTTTCCTCCCACCGCTAAAGAACCCTACGCACAAGCGAATTATTGAAATAAAATTAAACCATATGTTGGTCCCGAAATGACCTAGTTTGTGTCGAGTGGACGTTAAACCCCATTTCTCTCTCTCTATGACAATGACAGTTTTTGGTATTCCCTTAATCCACAAATTGAAAAAATCACTACCGGGTAACCTAAAAAAGCTCTGCCAGTTTCAATAAGAAGAGTAATTTAGAAATTAAGGAGAGTGATCTGATATTATTAAGGAGAGTGATTAATGTTGTGTATGGGAAATGGTTCTGAAGATCAATAACTGCATGTCATAACCCCCCATGACTTTGTACAAGAGACCGATTTTCAATTTTATGGGGATTGAGGGCTAAAAGTCTCCCCTCGGTCAACATTCAGGTGTCTGGCAGGTGCTCGAGAAAGATCGCTCGCCTTAAAAAAACAATGACTGCAATGATTGATTATTATTGTTTATTCAGTCCCCACCAACTTGATGAGAAATAATTACGGGGGGTATTTAAAAAAACAATGACTGCAATGATTGATTATTATTGTTTATTCAGTCCCCACCAACTTGATGAGAAATTAATTACGGGGGGTATTTAAAAATAAAAAAAATTCTGTGATGGAGAATTCAGCCAGGGCAGCATATTCCTGAAGCAATGGCCCGAGAAATCCCTCTCTTGTAATTGCTGGATTGACTTCTGATACTTGAGCTTTTGAGGGAGTGTGTCTATTCTTCCCGTCAATCAAACTGGGGTTTGGATGGCCAAATGATTAGCACATTCGTGCTGTATCATAATGTCTGTCATTGGTTTTGATTCCCCAGAAAACCAAGTGTTAGTTCTGAAATGACCTAGTTTGTGTCAATTTGAGATTAAACCCCATTTCTCTCCTCTCTCTCTCCTCTCTCTCTCTCTCTCTCTCTCAATCTAGTCTCTACTACATGTAAGTACAGCAACATAACAGCCCTTCGTTTAATCTGGTGTCTTCTCTGAAACTTTGGACAGTGATTTAAGGTATTAAAACCGGTGAAAGTATTGTTCGTCATCAAACAGTATTGTATACAATGTAGCCGTTTTGGTAGCCTATTTTGTCACGCAATTAGTTTTTCTGCAATATTCTGCTATGCACTGATGCCAAATGGCGAAGATCTATATAGCGCTGATGACAAATGGCGAATATCTATATAACACTATGCCAAATGAAATTGTAAGAATATATTTGAACTGATAAACTCAAGGGAAATAAAGGTGAACGTTTTTGTTTCTGACATCAAGCTCATGAAACAACGTATTCATTATTATTGTCTTTGTCACATGGATTACAAAACTTTTTTTCAGTTTTCCAAGTTACTCAGGGGTTTTGAACCATAAACAGATCATGTTCTTGTTATTCTTTGGGGCAGCGTACTTTGCAAAAAAACTGAAGGCCCAGTCAATTCAATTACGATCAACGTGAAAATTAACATTTTTGTTTCTTGGACACCTGCACATCGATATTTCATATGTCATAATTCCCAAATGCCCGGTTCCTGGTCCATATGGTTAGATCTAAATATTAAGACCACCTGCAGATTTTGTCAAGGTCACGAGATGTAAACAGGGCTAGCGCTAACCCTAGACCTTACCCTAACCCTAACCCACAATCCTCGACAAGGATTACGTGCCTTAACTCTGTTTATTATGACCTTGTTTTCGTACTTGTTTTTATAGTTACGTGACTGGGGATTCAGAGTTTGGAAATGTCAAACTGGCCACACCTCCAAACTAATTCACGAAACTCAAGTTGTAAAAATAAATCCAATATATAAAGGTCCACCATCGGTTAAGATAAGAACTGATACATGTACTTATGTTTTGATCAAATAAATTTATGAAATTTGAGCCTCTGCACACAAATAAATATATTATTTAGCATATTAAAGCATACATTTTGCAAGAGCCAAGTCTGCCTATTCCAGGTCTTTCTTTAGGTCTGAAATGTTATATAAATCATTAGACATTTATTCACATGACAAGCCCATAATCAAGTCTTTATATCGTCGGATGGATTACAACAGATTTAAACACGATTTGCAGGAAATAGATTAATGGAGAGAGAGAGAGAGAGAGAGATTAACATCCACTTGACACAAACTAGGTCATTTCGGGACTAACACAATTTTATTTCAATAATTCTTTTGTGCGTAGACTCTTTAGCAGTGAGAGGAAACCGGAGGACCCGGAGAAAACCTGTGAGGTTGGACAGGAGACTCTGCTCCTTGTCACGTACAACCGGAGAATCGAAACCATGCAGTAATGACAGACCTTATGATACAACGTGCACTTGCTAACCATTCAGCCATCCAACCCCCCTAAATTAAATGAACAATGAATAATCGACTGTTGTAGCGAGAACCACCAGCCCTGCATCTAAATCTTATATTAAGCATCTTTAAACTTTAAACCCATCTTTAAGATAATTACATTTGGCAATAAATATTCATACAGTGCAATGTCACTTGTCTTTGAGACATGTAAAAACTTCTGATATGGATATACATGTAGGCCTATTGTATTGCAACACAGATTTTTTTCCTTGCAATAAAAATGAAATATGGGTGTTTGCTGCCTAGTATTATATTTAGTTATTGAAGCATGGCATAAATACTCATCTCTCGAGAGTAACTTTAAATTGCTACCTTATAAATATGTTTAATAGTTAGATACAGTGAGTTATACCACTAGCCTTGAAGGTAGGTCATGACATAAATATTATTATAGAATTAAAAACAATGGGCAGTAAATAATATATAGTACTAGAATATTTGATATGGATATATGTACAAGCATGAGTATGGAAGTTGCAACAAACATTTCACATTGTGATGCATTACAATATGTAATTAAATAACATTAATTTTGAAGACATGTGTGGTACATATTAATGTTGATGTAATCGTCAACATTGTATGTTATAGTCGTTTAGATGGGATGTAAAACTGAGGTCATTGTACACATTGGCATGCACGTAAAAGATCCCTTGACAGTTGGAATTCAATATAAGAGTAGGCTGTAGAGCCACTGTCCGGGCAAAGTTTCCCTCATAGCAAACTGTATGGCGTATTCCCGTCTTCATTAGCCCAGTTCGGAGCAGAACAGTAGGATGTTAAACCCCATTTCATTTCATTTCATATCTTCACCCATTGCATGATAACTGCGTTTATACCAGGGTTCTTAATCCATTTTGAAACGAATCCACCAGAATTGGGTCAAATGAAGTTCCACTAGGAAATGGGTTTTAAAATTTTAAGCTTCCATTCCCTTTAATATAACTAGACTTCAACAAAAATAATTCTTGGTAATTTGTTAGGAGGAATATCGTATTCAACTGTATGTAATTAGCACAAATCTAACGACAAATAGGTACACCGTTCGGAAAATTTTCCATATTTAATTCACATACCGGTTTGAAATTCATGTCAGTAATATTTCTGAATAAATTACTGTATTTGTCTTTTCGATGGATATAAGTTGATACGGCACCATGGTATTTCTTCATAACACAATTTGTAGGGTTTTATTTCCTTTTACGTAACTTGCAAATGTTTTTATTCATTCATCCATTATAAACACACGGCACAGTGATCACATGACAACCATAATTGAAATGGCTTTAAAAATAAATTCCATACGACTATGCCATCCAGCTTTCAATAATAATAACGACGATATTTTGAAAATCAACTTTATACCAAGTTGTTCAACTGCTCACTGTTTTAGTGTTACATACCTTTATTCTACATTTGGTCTGTTGGTGCAGAAAATGTGGACGTCAAAACCCCATTTCAGTTGATTTATAGGATCTAGATCGGACTATCAGGGTCGTGTAGCAATCTGATCAAAATACAGATGTATATTTTGTTTCGTTTTTTATACTTTCGATGGCCTACACTACATAAAGATCTGACAGTGTGTACTGGTAGGTCGTGTCAGGGGTTGTATGAGCGGCTTTTCACCCTATGACGTCAGACATTGATTAATCAATCAGCGTTGATGTTTCTAGTGGTTTACCTACAGTTCCGTGCATGGTCTGCCAAGAATGTCTCGCCAGAACAGACTGTTTCATTGGCTTATCCCTCACTTTAACCAAAACGCTGGTAATATAACAACTCTTCCAGATCCTAGTGTAGTAAAGACAAGTAAAACGAAATCTTGATCTATAAAAAACGAACCGAAATAGGATCTGTGTATTGATCCCATTGTTTACGGAGAAAAGTCCAACTTGAAAGACGCATTGTGTAAGATTGAGATACAGGATTTCAGCCTCGTGATTTTCTGGTTTGAAAAGCAGCCTGTTTTACCCCCAAATTGGACTGACCCGTTATGCATGTATGATGTATATCCTCAGATTTTTTTTTTTCCTTGAAATGTTTTGTTCGAGAAACTTTCTGTGTGTTCACTATCTGTTACAGGATAAATTATAAGGTAGGATTTTGATTTAAAATGTTTTCAAATCTCTATGCGTTATTTAAGCATAATTGGAATCACTTGTAAACTACAAGTTTAAATTACAGGATAAATTATAAGGTAAACGTTTGGATTTTGATTTAAAATGTTTTCAAAACTCTTTGCGTTATTTTAGCATGATAGGAATGAAAACTACGATATTGTGAAAGATGAATCGCTAACATGAATAAAGCTTTCGAAATGATTTGATTAAATTGATTTCATTCAGAATTTATAACTTAAAAATATGTAATTGAAAAGCTAAAAATGGAGGCACTCGCAATAGTGTAATTTGAATGAAATTTTCAAATTATTCATTTCACATTATCTATTTTCGAACTATTACAGCAAGAATGGCTAGCTCTTTTGTCAAAATCTTACATAATGTATCTTTAAATAATAAATCTGAATACATATTAGTGGGGATTAAGTTGTGAGAAATTTGATATTTTAGCAAAAAACACATAAGATAAGATAAGATGTTTATTGCATCAAAACGTCCATAAAGGACAGCATGCATACATATACACTTAGACAATAGTCGTATACATTCAATAATACATATTACATAGACAACTCAATACATTCATACAAACAGTATACTACATGTACAACTGTACATGTATATCAAATAGTAAGTGCAGGAGGACCACACTACACACAAAACAAAAAACTACAAGATAAACCTGCAGACAAGACAGAAAATAGACATTGCTCCAAAAGGCATTCACATAAATCTATACTAATATTTGTGACTGTCGTCTGTCGATTCAGGGTGTTCGATGCCTGTAATGGCCGAGAAAGTTCATCCAGATTTTCCGGCGTGGTTCCCCCTTGTCAGTGATGCAGGACGTAGGGCCTGACAAGGGCTGTCTAGTCATTTGGATGGGACGAAAAACCGAGGTCCCATGTACACATTGGTGTGCACATAAAAGATCCCTTGGAATTCGATATAAGAGTAGGTCGTAGCACCGCTGCCTGGGCAAAATTTCTCTCATAGCACACTGTATGGCATATGCCCGTCTTCATTAGCCCAGTATAGGAGCAGAATAGAACATTAAACCCCATTTTATTTCATTTCACATAATGTATCTTTACATGATTCTTTTTTGTAATATTTCAGGAACAGGCAAAATGGCTTCACCAAGTGATAAGATTGAGATGGCGAAGATCACCCCTGGCAAAACAATGCGAATAGACCAAGACAATGGGACTGTTATGCCTAAAGTTAGCGTATCAGCAATGGAGAGTCTTTCTTCCAACCAGGTATGTAAAAATAATAATAGTAATAATTTATTTATAATCCGCCTATTACCAATATAAAATACTGTTCAGTGCCCTAGTTAACATTTTGTGGACATCACACATAGCAATAAAAATAAAATAAATTAAATGGATGATCAAAGAAATTAAAATGACATACGATAACAATCAAAATATAGTAGTAAAGTTTACAATAAAATATGACATGTAATAAAGAATAAAATAGAACAGCGCCTAAAACAGATTATTTGCCGATGTACTGATACACCAGTATGTATCGCTACTGGGCCTCCAGCGGTCAGTCATCAAAATCGCAGTTTGCATTCCCAAAAATGATATTGTCAATTAAAATTTGATTTTGGCGATAATTTTAGTGAAATCATTTGGGGTACTGGCAGTCCTGTTTGAGAAGTGGCGTTAATAAATCTTAAATTTCTAATCGTATATATCAGGGGCAGATCGAGAAATTTTTGCAGGAGGGGGTTTGCAGGGTCCTGTTAAAGAAATTTGGCAGTTGACAATGCATGATGCCATCATCGTCTCTAAATTACGTGGGGTGTTGGATGGCCAAATGGTTAGCACGTACATGATCTATCATAAGGTCTGTCAATGAGTCGACTGGCGTGGTTTCGAATCCCCGGTTGTACCTGACAAGGAGAAGGGTTGCCTGTCCAACCTCGTGGGTTTTCTTCGGGTCCTCTGGTTTCCTCCCACTGCAAAGGACCCCTACGTGGACGCGAATTATGTAAATAGAATTAAACCATATGTTAGTCCCGAAATGACCTAGTTTGTGTCGAGTGGACGTTAAACCCCATTTCTCTCTCTCTCTCTCTCTCTCTCTCTCTCTCTCTCTCTCCAACATCCTGTTTGACATCATTATAATGAATTAATAGGATCATATTGTGATTCAATTTCATTGATGCTACGCATTAATTGTGATGTCACACATGTCTATATCATTATTTCGTTCACTGAATGCCCATCCCATCCCACCATCTGATCATAAAGGATAAAGTACAGGACCGTTACACTTTTCTCAAAAAGTGTTGTTTTACAATTTTTTTTCATGTAGCTGAGCAGGGTGGGGTTTGGACCCCCCTCTGGATTCGTCCCTGTATATATCCAAGATTGACCATTACGTTGAGTGCCAACCACAATCACATGGCACCAAACTGTCTTGGAGATCAAGGTGACGCTGGCTTGCTAGTCCGGAGGTCAGGTGTTCGATCCCTTCACTGACCGAGAAAGTTTATCCAGATTTTCCAGCATGATTCCCTTTTGTCAGTGATGTAGGACACAGGCCTGACAAGGACAGTTGTCTAGTCGTTCGAATGGTATGAAAAAACGAGGTCCTGTGTAGCTGTTGGCGTGCACGTAGAAGACCCCTTGACAGTTGGAATTCGATATAAGAGTAGGCTGTAGTGCCGCTCTCCGGGCAAAATTTTCCTCATAGCACACTATGGCGTATGCCCGTTTTCATTATCCCAGTTCAGAGCAGAACAGTAGGTTGTTACACCTCATTTCACTTCCAAACTGTCTTGTCTGAGCTGTGCCAATCATTCAAGCAATATTTATATGGATACTAGCAGTTCTCCTCCAGGCATAACATGGGTATTTAAATCGGAAGTAACATAACTCCGAAACAGGAAGTGGTATGCCAACCCCATTACACAAAATTTCAGCCTCAGGATAGCCCTAGTGTAATCGCCAACCCTGAACAGATGAATAGAGAGACAAATAAACGAACAGCAGTCTTAGATATTAGAATATTGTATGTCTGTCTGTCTGTTGAAAAGTACAGAAAGACAATGAAACTTATTGATGTCTTAAGTCTAGCTTATGTCGCCACATAAAGCGATAAAACTGACTGCGACCTGAAATCGGCGACAGCTTTACGACCAAATGGAACTGATCAGTCGTGACTATCCGGGCGACCTCAGCGTTCTTACGACTGGTGTAAGTCGGATGTCAACCAGTCGCCGTCCAGTTGTCTCCAGTTTTTCTGAGTCACACATGTTCTACTCCTACGACTGGAGACAACTAGTTGTCCCTAGTCGCAAGCGACATGAGGGTACCAACAACTGGCTTGAGTCGGCGCCTCGCTGATGTAGCCAATAAGATTCGGTTATTTAGTCACATGGTACCCAGGGGGCAGGGACAAGTGGTATGAGGCCATTTTGAAGGTTACCATGTGTCAGTCATGTGATCAGTTGTCGATCTGATTCTTCAACTGACGCTGGGCGACATGAGCAGGCTAACGACTATGATCAACTAGTTGCTTGTGGTTGCGTCAAGTCGTGGATAAATTCAGTCATGGATAAATTCAGTTGCTGTTAGTTTTATTGCGTCGTAGGGCAACAAAACATAGGCTTTAGATTAACAAAATGAACTGGTATTCTACATCCCGCTGTCCTGCATACGCCATACAATGTGCTATGAGGGAAATTTTGCCTTGCTAAAAGTCAAGAGTTCTTTCACATGCACGTAAATGTGTACATGGGGGACCTTTGTTTTTCATCTCATAGGAATGACTATATGTTGTCCCTGGCCAGGCCCTCTACCATACATCTCTGACAAGGGGGAACCACGCCTAAACATCTTGATGAACCCTGTCAGCCAACACAGGGATCACACCGTGGGAGCTTAAGTTAAGTGAGTCATCATCTTACTCCGTGAGCCACTGCGGCTCCCCAGAAAACAACAAAGAGAGAGAGAGAGAGAGAAATGGGGTTTAACTTCCACTCGACACAAACTACGTCATTTCGGGACTAACACACGGTTCAATTTTTATTTCAATAATTTGCTTGCGCATAGGGGTATTTAGCAGTAGAAGGAAACCGGAGGACCCGAAGAAAACCCATGAGGTTGGACAGGCGACCCTACTCCTTGTCACGCACAACCGGGGAATCGAAACCATGGCAGTTGGACTCAATGACAAGCCTTATGATACAGCGCGCAACTACTAACCATTTGGCCATCCAACCCCTCAAAATAAAGCAGGGGTCACGTTGGCTAAGTGGGTAAGACACTGGCTAACTAGCCTGGAGGTCGGGTGTTTGATCCCTGCATTGGCCAAGAAAGGTCATCCAGATTTTCCAGCGTGGTTCACCCTTGTCAGCGATGCAGGACGGAGGGCCAGGCAAGGACAGCTGTCTAGTCATCCGGATGGGATAGAAAAAATGAGGTCCCGTGTACCCCTTGTATGAGATCCCTTGACAGTTCGAATTCGATATAAAGGTAGGCCGAAGTGCCGCTTTTCGGGCAAAATTTCCCCCATAGCACACTGTATGGCGTATGCCCGTCTTCATTAGCCCATTTCTGAGCAAAACAGTAGGACGTTAAACCCCATTTCATTTCATTTCTTTTTACAGCAAGAAGAAATAAGTTGGATAAAAAAGAATGTGAAGATTAAAAGATGTGGTGGATTTGTCAAGGCTCCCGGGGATAAAAAGTAAGTAGAAACTAACCAATTGCAATGTTATGCCCCCTATCTAACCACTGAGGGGAGCTGGAGCTAAGTGGTTGAGTGACCCAACACATGTGCTTTTGATCGTAAGGCCTGTCATTGAGGCAAAGGACATTTTTCAATCCCACACATGTACATGACAGACGTAACGCAACTGTGTGTTACACTGTCTACAAAATGGCACCCAAAAGAACACGTAGCAACGTCCTTATTCAGGATTGCAAATTCTTTGTGTACTGCAAATATGGCTTTGGCACATATTTCATTATGAAAGAAATGAAATGAAATGGGGTTTAACCTCCTACTGTTTTGCTCCGAACTGGGCTAATGAAGACGGGCATACGCCATACAGTGTGCTATGAGGGAAATTTTGCCCGGACAGCGGCACTACGGCCTAGTCTTCTATCGAATTCCAACTGTCAAGGGATCTTTTACGTGCACGCCAATGTGTACACTGGACCTCGGTTTTCTGTCCCATCCAAACAACTAGACAGCTGTCCTTGTCAGGCCCTCCGTCCTGCATCACTGACAAGAAATAGGGTTTAACGTCTACTTGACACAAACTTGGTCATTTCGGAACTAACATATGGTTCTATTTTATTTCAACAATTTGCTGGCACGAAGGGGGTCTTTAGCAGTGGGAGGAACCCACTGGTTGGACAGGTGACCTTACTCCTTGTCATGTACAACTGGGGAATCGAAACAACGCCAGTTGACTCAATGACAGGCCTTATGATACAGCGAGCACTTGCTGACCATTCGGCCATCCCACCCCCCTGATTTCAATATGACGTCAATATCACTTCATTATCACTTCAAATACAAAACCCAGGAAAGAATACACTGTTCTTTTAAAATATGTTTTTATATTAAGCAGGATACAATGTTTAAAACAGCTATGATATTACAGCTAGATGTAACTTAAAAAATAAAATGCCTTTTGGTCTCCTTCAACTCAGTTCTAGCCAGACAGGCTAACTATGAAAAACCTGGAAATAAGGCACAATGTCATGCACAAATACAGGCTTTGTCAGGCATAAAACCTCTGGTGCCTGTCATTTTGTACGGCACTGATATGTCTTTTTTATTGGTATTATTATACATGTCCAGTACTAAGTTAAAAATGTCAGGTACTATTTCATTAGTGCCCGACATTTTGTCGGGTACATCTAAAACTGTTATTTCCAGGCCTGAGAAATATGCATGGTATTCATGCCTAATATGAAGATACTATAATTTCCTACGTGACCAAGTTTGAGTTCCATTTCTCTCTTTTTATCTGCCTTAAAACCCAGTCTTCATCAACCTGCCTCGTTTCATTTACAGGAATGTCTATTTACCAGATAATGTCTACTCTCTATTAACCAGGGAATCTCTATTGTCTATTTACCAGGGAATGTCTATTGTCTATTAACCAGGGAATGTCTATTGTCTATTTACCAGTGAATGTCTATTGTCTATTTACCAGGGAATCTCTATTGTCTATTAACCAGGGAATGTCTATTGTCTATTTACCAGTGAATGTCTATTGTCTATTAACCAGGGAATGTCTATTGTCTATTAACCAGGGAATGTCTATTGTCTATTTACCAGTGAATGTCTATTGTCTATTAACCAGGGAATGTCTATTGTCTATTAACCAGGGAATGTCTATTGTCTATTTACCAGTGAATGTCTATTGTCTATTTACCAGGGAATCTCTATTGTCTATTTACCAGGGAATCTCTATTGTCTATTTACCAGGGAATGTCTATTGTCTATTTACCAGTGAATGTCTATTGTCTATTTACCACGGAATGTCTATTTACCAGGGAATTTCTATTTACAAAGGAATGCCCATTTTTGTAATTGAATTCCCACTGTTATTTGTATTTGAGTGGGTGACAAACCAAGATCCTGTTTACACATGCACATAAAATAACCCTTGGCATTTGAAATTTGATGTAAGAGTGCCGCTGTCAGGGTAAAATTTCCCTCATAGCATACTGTATGGTATATGCTCGTCTTCATTAGCCCAGTTCGGAGCAAAACAGTAGGACTCTAAACCCCATTTCATTTCATTTCATTATGCCCGTCTTCATTAGCCCAGTTGTAGTCAATGAGTTGGACGTTAAACCCGATTTTACTTTTCAGTAAAGTGTTATTTGTTTTTTATTTGAAGTAATGTCGCTGATCCGAAGTGTAAATGTGGACAGATTAAGAGTTTACACCCAAATGACATGCAGCAGGCCAATAACGAGGATGTCCCGTGGAGAGTAGAAGAATTAGCGTGTGATGCGTTCGGAGAAATAGAATTCCATGACAGCGATAACCAGGTTGCCAAGGTGAGTTTGAACTTTAAAATTTTTAACAGTTGAAGCAAAATGTTTGCTGTAGCCAAGAAAATATACATGTATACACAGATATAAATAGTATACATTGATAATTATAAAAACCAATCTGATTAAAAAACAGATTGATATTTCGTTTCGTTTTTTATACTTTCGATGGGCATCGCGTCAGGGTTCATAAAGCAGCTTTTGACCCTATGACGCCAGACATTGATTAATAAATCAGCGTTGATGTTTCTGGTGGTTTACCCACAGTTCCGTGCACAGCATGCCAAGAACTCGCTGTAACAGACCGTTTCATAGGCTAATCCCTCACATCATCCAGAATGTGGGTTATATAACAACTCTTCTAGATCCTAGTAAAGACAAGTAAAACAAAATTTTGAACTATAAAAAACAAAACGAAATAGGATCTGTGTTTTAATCAGGTTGCTATAGTAACATGGAGAACAACTTGTCCAACATGTATTTATTGTTTTAGTTATTATAACTAAGTTTACACTTCAGGTATCCTCCACTTATATATTCTATTTGTAGTTTATTCAAATGATATATATTCTATTTATAGTTTATTCAAATTATATATGTTCTATTTATAGTTTATTCAAGTGATATATATTCTATTTATAGTTTTTTCAAGTGATATATATTCTATTTATAGTTTAATCAAGTGATATCTGTTCTATTTATAGTTTATTCAAGTGTTATATATTCTATTTATAGTTTATTCAATTGATTTATGTTCTATTTATAGTTTATTCGAGTAAGTAACGATCAAGATGTGACGCAAATATTGAAGGAACTTTTGATGAAGAAGTGGAAATTACAAAAACCTAATCTTCTGATCTCCGTCACAGGAGGGGCTAAAAATTTTGACATGAAGTCACGATTGCGAGAGGTTTTCCGTCGTGGTTTACAGAAGGCTGCGGAGAGTACAGGTTAGTAATTTCTACATCATGTTTCACGTTTTTTATTTTTCAAGAAAACGAAAGGAAAAATAATCTGTCTAATAATGGCATTAGTATATTAGACATTTTTTAAAGATGCATTATGTAAGAGCTAAATCTGCCTATTACAGGTCTTTCTTTTGGCCTCAAATGTTATATAAATTATTAATTAGACATTTATTAGTATGGCAAGACCATAATCAACTCTCTAAAACCGTTGGAATGCTCGTGTTTTTGAATAGATTGAAACAAGATCGCCATTTAATTCAAAAATGGATAATCAAGAATATTATCGTAACGATCGATCGTAGCAGTGAAAATCGAGACTATGCTGTTATCAAAACTTCAAGCACTGATAACTTCGCTCAATAAATTAATTTGACTAAGATTTTCAGCTTATTATCTATTTTTAAATTATTTTAGCGACAACTGTCAGCTCTATATCTAAATCATATGGTTTAATTATATTTCAATAGGGGTCTTTAGGGGTCTTTAGCAGTAGGAGGAAACCAGAGGACCCGGAGAAAACCTACAAGGTTTCACTTACAACCGGGGAATCGAAACCACGCCAGTTGACTCAATAACAGACCTGATGATACAGTTCGCAGGCACTTACCATTTGGCCATCAATCCCCTCATTGATTATAACTAAGTATTTATTTTATGAGCGTGGGTAGTAGCTAAGTTTTATATTTTATGATATTAGGAGCGTGGATAGTAACTAATTTTTTTTTATGATTTATTAGGAGCGTGGATAGTAACTAAGTTTATATTTTATGATTTATTAGGAACGTGGATAGTAACTAAGTTTATATTTTATTATTTTAGGAGCGTGGATAGTAACTAAGTTTATATTTTATGATTTATTAGGAACGTGGATAGTAACTAAGTTTATATTTTATTATTTTAGGAGCGTGGATTGTAACTAAGTTTATATTTTATGATTTATTAGGAACGTGGATAGTAACTAAGTTTATATTTTATTATTTTAGGAGCGTGGATTGTAACTAAGTTTATATTTTATTATTTATTAGGAGCGTGATTTATTAGCAGCGTGGATAGTAACTAAGTTTATATTTTATGATTTATTAGGAACGTGGATATTAACTAAGTTTATATTTTATTATTTTAGGAACGTGGATTGTAACTAAGTTTATATTTTATGATTTATTAGGAACGTGGATAGTAACTAAGTTTATATTTTATTATTTTAGGAGCGTGGATTGTAACTAAGTTTATATTTTATTATTTATTAGAAGCATGGATTGTAACTAAGTTTATATTTTATGATTTTAGGAGAGTGGATTGTAACTAAGTTTATATTAGGAGCGTAGATTGTAACTAAGTTTATATTTTATTATTTATTAGGAAAATGGATTGTAACTAAGTTTTTATTTTATGATTTATTAGGAGCGTGGATTGTAACTAAGTTTATATTTTATGATTTATTAGGAGCGTGGATTGTAACTAAGTTTATATTTTATGATTTATTAGGAGCATGGATTGTAACTGGTGGAACTAACACAGGAGTAATGAAACATGTGGGTGAAGCTATGAAAGAAATCAGTATTACAGATGAAAAAAATCGTGTTGTAGCTATAGGTGTAGCTCCGTGGGGTTGTATACAAAACAGAGAAAATCTAATATCTCCTGATGTAAGTACAATATTATAATATGTCTCGATGTAAGTACAATATTACTATGTCCTGATGTAAGTACAATATTATAATATGTCCTGATGTAAGTACAGCAATATTATAATATGTCCTGATGTAAGTACAATATTAGAATATTTCCAGATGTAAGTACAATATTATAATATGTCCTGATGTAAGTACAGCAATATTATAATATGTCCTGATGTTAGTACATTATGATAATATGTCCTGATGTTAGTACATTATGATAATATGTCCTGATAGTACAATATTATAATATGTCCTGATGTAAGTACAATATTATAATATGTCCTGTTGTTAGTACAATATTATAATATGTCCTGATGTAAATACAATATTATAATATGTCCTGATGTAAGTAAAATATTATAATATCTCCTGAGAGAAAGAGATAGATGGGATTTCAGGACTAACATATGGTTCAATTTTATTTCAATAATTCGCTGGCGCGTAGGGGTTTTTAGCATTGGGAGGAAACAGGAGGACCCAGAGAAAATCCACGAGGTTGGACAGGCGAAGCTGCTCCTTGTCATGTACAACCGGGGAATCAAAACCACTCCAGTTGACTCAGTGACAGACCTTGTGATACAACACGCACAAGCTAACCATTCGGCTATCCAACTCCCATCAGCTTTAAAGTAACCTATATTTTTATTTTTACAGGGTAAATGGCCGTGCGAATATAATTTATTAGAAGACACCTCGAAGCCTGATGAAATATTCCTTAATCCAAATCACACCCATTTCCTATTGGTTGACGATGGAACTACGCATAAATGGGCAACTGAAATAGATTTCCGATCTGCTCTGGAGAAAGCTATATCTGAAATGAGTTTAGAGATGTCACAAGGAACAAAAGGTGTGTTTAGAAATCAGAAGTTTGGTTGTACTCTAAAACTACTAATCTGTGTATATCTCCGCTCGTCCAAACCCCTTCTTATAGTCAATGGTTCCATATCCCGGACATGTCCGATGCGATTTTCAAAACGTCCAAACTGGAATATGCCCACTCAGACATCAATGTATTGTTATTATTATTATTATTATATTACAGCATATTTATAGTGCGCCCTACATGTTCAGGGGCACTTTACAAAGTGACAATGTAATCATAATTAATATTCAACATTCCAAAATATATTTACTTTCCGAAGTGTATAAATGTTACTCATCTCGATCTGATCAGGTAATTAAGTCATCAACTCTTTTATGGTGTTAATCACTCACATTAATTGATTAACTACTTAATCAGCCTTGATTGATTGTCTTGATCTATGTGATTTCTTTTATATCCTTTATATATTGTTATATTGCAATCCGTGTGTCTCCCTTGTCGGAAAGTTTGAAATAGCATCCACGTGACTTAATGAGGGTCACATGGACAAGTTTAAACGTCATCGTAGACTGGATTGTCTACCTAGCGAAAATTAGTGGTTTGCCACTGGTTGACGGAATCTAGAGTAGTGAACTTTGACCCCAATTATTTAATTCCAGACGCGTCTTACCTTGGTATTATTATATCTACTGAAAGAGAATCGGTTTCAGGCGAGTTATTTGCCCTTGCATTAGAAATCGGATTCAGACCACATGGTCGTAACAAACTTTAGCATTACACTTAGTCATTTACACATTTAAAACTGTCTTAAGGTGACATTGAAAATAACCTTGTTTATTTTATTTCAGTGAACCAGACGAATATACCAGTTGTGTTACTGGTGTTACAGGGAGGACCTGGTACGTTTAAAACTATCTTAGGTGCCATTAAAAATAAAACACCAACAGTTGTCATTAAGGTGGGTTAATTTTAATTCTCGTTATAATAAGTATAAAAGGAATTCCAGGCATGGTGCACATTTAGAAGTGAATGTTGATCATTATAATACAAGTGTCAATTTATGGTACGTCCATGTACGAGAAGGCCCTTGTCCTAGCTATAGTGCATGGTTTAGAAGGGAATTCTGAATGTTACAATACAGGTGTTATTCTTTGGTACGTCCATATATGAGAAAGCCTTTATCCTGTAATGCATGTTTTAGGAGGGTATTCTGAAAGTTATAATACAGGTGTCTTGTATGAGAAAACCTTTGTCCTTGGTTGCGCTGTGGAAAGATTTGAAAAGGAATGAAATGGGGTTTAAAGTCCTAATGTTCTGCTTCGACTGGCCTAATGAAGGTGGGCATACACCATGCAGTGTGCTATGAGGGAAATTTTGCCCGGGCAGCGGCACTACAGCCTACTTTTATATTGAATTAACTGTCAAGAGATCTTTTACGTGCACGCCAATGCATAGACAGGACCTCAGTGTATGCATTGCATCCGAAGGACTAGACAGCTGTCCTTGTTGGGCCCTACATCCTGCACCACTGACAAGGGGAAACCACCCTGGAAGATCGCAATGAACATTCTCGGCCAAACCCGGATCGAACCTGGTAAAGATTTGAGACTTCTCCCATATGTCAGGAAACCCAGATGATGCCGACATCAATAAATAACTCAATCTATTATTATTTCAGGGAACTGGAGGCGCAGCTGATATTTTAGCGCTTGCTTTTCAACGGGCTCAGTCAACAGAAATCAGTGGTTATGATCGAGATAGGGAGCAAATTAGAAAGTAGGTTGTCCCTTTATTGTAAAACATTAACCCTTTAAGCGTGACGTTTTTAAAACGTTAACTACCCCCTGTTGTGTAATTAATTTGACGAAGTGACGAAGAACTATGTACAGTGTTCTAAGAATAGGTTGGGGAAAATACCTCCAAGACGTTCTATTACGCCCTACACACAGTGAGTGGCAGTTGTCCAGGACCTAATATAACGTCCTACACATGCTGCAATCGTGGGGGAATTCCCAAGGGATTCCCCCAAGTGACGAACTATGTTCTAAGAATAGGTTGGTGAAAATACCTCCAAGATGTTTTATTACGCCCTACACACAGTGAGTGGCAGTTGTCCAGAACGTTATATAACGACCTACGCACTTAATGGGTTAAATAAATACTAATTGTACTATAACCTTTTATTCCAAAGAATTTTCTCTCATTTGTATTAAAGATGCATTATGTAATAGTTAAAGTAACTAAATCGCTGAAATTTGGGACCTAGAAATTGACACAAATGGTTCGCAATAATGTAATATGAATACATGTATATTTAAACTGATTTACATTCAATCGTTTCCATTTTTACTCTAATTTCAAATCGGTTATGTTCGTCGAAATACATGACCCTGCAGCTCCCACCTTACTTATGACCCCTGCAGCACCTGTGTTTGCTCCCCGCCACTGCAGCACTGTTTCCTCTCCGCCACTGCTCTCCACCCGTCTTTGCTCTTGGTCCCTACAGCCTCCTGTCTTTGCTCTCTGGCCCTTCAGCTCCTGTTTTGCTCTCGGCTCTTGTCTTGCGTTCGGCCCCTGTAGCTGCTGCCTTGCTATTGGCTCTTGTCTTGCGTTCGGCCCCTGTAGCTGCTGCCTTGCTCTTGGCTCTTGTCTTGCGTTTGGTCCCTGTAGCTGCTGCCTTGCTCTTGGCTCTTGTCTTGCATTCGGCCCCTGTAGCTGCTGCCTTGCTCTTGGCTCTTGTCTTGCGTTCGGCCCCTGTAACTGCTGCCTTGCTCTTGGCTCTTGACTTGCGTTCGGCCCCTGTAGCTGCTGCCTTGCTCTCGGCCCCTGAATGATTTTATTCTGATTTTATTGAAATGTGATAAACATTGTATAAAATAATAATAAACTCCAAACAAGGCTAAAATTTTGAAATTCATTTTTATCAAGTGATCTTGAGGCTATTCAAATGTAAGTTAAATAGAGACACATAATATTCCTTTTTACTGTAATGAGAATGGTGGAGTTATTTTTTTTTTTTACTGTTCTTGGAATTATTTTTTTGTTTACTGTTATCAGAATGATGGAATATTTGTTTTTACTGTAATGAGAATGGTGGAATATATATTTTTTACTGTAATCGGAATGCTAGAATTCTTTTTTTGTTTACTTTTATTAGAATGGTGAAATATTTGTTTTGACTGTATTGAAATTGGTGGAATGTTTTTTTTTACTGTTATAAGAATTGTGGATTTTTTTCTTACTGCAATGAGATGATGGAATGTATATTTTTTTTTTATTGTAATGGGCTTTTTGGAATGTTTTTATTATGTAATGTTTTTTTTTTATATCTTTTCATACTGTTGTTGGGTTGTTTGAATATTCTTCATACTCTAATACGGATGTTTAAATGTGGTTACTTGAATGTTTTCAAAGTGTAATGTTGTTACTTGAATGTTTTCATAGTGTAATGGGGTTGGTTGGGTGTTTTCATAATGTAATGGGGTTGTTTGAATGTTTTCTTAGTGTAATGGGGTTGTTTGGGCATTTTCATAGTGTAATGATGCTGTTGAGAGTTTTCATACAGTAATGGGATTACTTGAATGTTTTCATACTGTAATGGAGTTGTTTGGGTGTTTTCATAGTGTGTTATGCTGTTGGGAGTTTTGTTAGTGTAATGGGGTTGTTTGGGCATTTTTATAGTGTAATGATGCTGTTGAGAGTTTTCATACAGTAATGCGATTACTTGAATGTTTTCATAGTGTAATGGAGTTGTTTGGGTGTTTTCATAGTGTATTGATGCTGTTGGGAGTTGTCATAGTGTAATTGGGTTGTTTGAATGTTTTCATAGTGTAATAGGGTTGTTTTGGTGTTTTCATACTGTAATGCTGTTTTTGGGTGTTTTCATACTGTAATGGGGTTGTTTGGGTGTTTTCATACTGTAATGGGGTTGTTTGGGTGTTTTCATAGTGTAATGATGCTGTTGGGAGTTTTCATACTGTAATGGGGTTATTTGAATGTTTTCATAGTGTAATGGGGTTATTTGAATGTTTTCATAGTGTAATGGGGTTGTTTGGGTGTTTTCATACTGTAATGGGGTTATTTGAATGTTTTCATAGTGTAATGGGGTTATTTGAATGTTTTCATACTGTAATGGGGTTGTTTGGGTGTTTTCATACTGTAATGGGGTTATTTGAATGTTTTCATAGTGTAATGGGGTTATTTGAATGTTTTCATACTGTAATGGGGTTATTTGAATGTTTTCATAGTGTAATGGGGTTGTTTGGGTGTTTTCATACTGTAATGATGCTGCTGGGAGTTTTCATACTGTAATGGGATTGTTTGGGAGTTTTCATAGTGTAATAGGGTTGTTTGGGTTGTTTGAATGTTTTCTTAGTGTAATGGGGTTGTTTGGGGATTTTCATAGTGTAATGATGCTGTTGAGAGTTTTCATACAGTAATGGGGTTATTTGAATGTTTTCATAGTGTAATGGGGTTGTTTGGGAGTTTTCATAGTGTAATGGGGTTGTTTGGGAGTTTTCATAGTGTAATGGGGTTGTTTGGGAGTTTTCATAGTGTAATGGGGTTGTTTGTGTATTTTCATAGTGTAATGATGCTGTTGGGAGTTTTCATACTGTAATGGGGTTATTTGAATGTTTTCATAGTGTAATGGGGTTGTTTGGGAGTTTTCATAGTGTAATGGGGTTGTTTGGGTGTTTTCATAGTGTAGTGATGCTGTTGGGAGTTTTCATACTGTAGTGGGGTTATTTGAATGTTTTCATACTGTAATGGGGTTGTTTGATTGTTTTCATAGTGTAATGGAGTTTCATACTCTAACACGAATGTTTAAATGTTTTCATAACACAATACCTCTGCTTCAAATTGATAACTATGTCTAAGCTTGGTGTAGGTTTTTGTCTTGTGATCATTTTCTGCTAAGATTAAGCAGAGTGAAGGCATTTACTGCTGATTCGGAAAGCAATAACTCTGATTTTAATTGAGTGAAATTGATTAGTTTCATTACATCAGTACCTTGACTATGTTTAATACTGAGTTTTTTCTTCACGGGTTAAAACATATGTGCAGGTAATTGATATCATCTATTTTTTGCTGGGATTGCGGCGGGGCATGTCAGTCTCACTGTTAACTGGTCTAGTGGAGTTGTTTGTTTCTTCTGTTATCGAACAATCCCCGGTTGTACGTGGCAAGGAGTAGGGTCGCCTGTCCAACCTCGTGGGTTTTCGCCTGTCCAACCTCGTGGGTTTTCTCCGGGTCCTCCGGTTTCCTCCCACTGCTAAAGACCCCTACGCGCAAGCGAATTATGTAAATAAAATTAAACCTTATGTTAGTCCCGAAATGACCTAGTTTGTGTCGAGTGGACGTTAAACCCCATTTCTCTCTCTCGCTCTGTTAACTGGTCTAATGGAGTTGTTTGTTGTCCCCCGCCTTTCGAAGAAAGCAGGGGACTATTAAAATGGGTTCGTCCGTCTGTCTGTCTGTCCGTCCGTCTGTCTGTCCGTCACACTTTTTGGGACACAATAACTCTCTTCCTAATTGAGCTAGAATGTTCAAACTTGGTGTATGTGTTTATTAGGTCAATGCCTTGATGGAGTTCGAAGATGAGCATTTTCCGCTTAGGGTAAGCAGAGATAAGCAATTTGATTGGTTGATGCTTTGGGACACGATAACTCTCTTCCTAATTGGGCTAGAATGTTCAAACTTGGTGTATGTGTTGATTAGGTCAATGCCTTGATGGAGTTCGAAGATGAGCATTTTCCGGTTATGGTAAGCAGAGATAAGCAATTTGATTGGTTGATGCTTTGGGACACGATAACTTTTAATTGAGCTAGAATGTTCAAACTTGGTGTATGTGTTTATTAGGTCAATGCCTTGTCAAACTTGGTGTAGGTTTTTATTATGTCGATGCCTTGATGGAATTCGAAGATGAGCATTTTCTGCTTAGGGTAAGCAGAGATAAGCAAGTTGATTGGTTGATGCTTTGGGACACGATAACTTTAGTTCTAATTAAGTGAGAGTGATGAAACTTGGTGTATAGTTTCATCACAGCAATACAACGACTAATTTCAATAATGAACATTTTCTCCTGAGGGTAAGCAGAGCAATAACCAATTGATTGGTCAAGACTTTGGAACATAATAACTCTGCTTTTAATTGTGGTAGAATGTTTAAACTTGATGTTGATGTTCGTTAGGTTGATTCTATCTGATAAAGAGTGATGAAACTTAGTGTATAGTTGATAATCAGTTTGATTGCTCGATACTTTTGAAAAAGATAAACGTGCAATTAATTGATATGTGTCATCTATCTATTTCGGGATTTCGGCGGGGGACATCAGCCTCGATGTTGGCTTGTTTCTTCTGTTATCGAACATTGCATGATATTTTATATATCTATTCATTGTCTTCGACATGTCCTACATAATGGCAATCTGATTCAAATACAGATCTAAATTTCGTTCTGTTTTTTTTATATTTTCACTGGCCTCTACTACATGAAGATTTGATCAGTTGTAGTGGGAGGTCTCGTCAGGTATCATACAAGCAACTTTTGACCAGATGGCGTCGGACAGTTGATTAACCAATCAGCAATGATGTTTCTAGTGGAATACCTAAAGTTCCGTGCACCACACGCCAAGAACTCGCCGTAACAGACTGTTTCATTGGCTAATCCCTCACATCAAAAAAATTTTGAACTGTAAAAAACAAAACGAAATACGATCTACGTTTTAATCAGATTAACACAATGGCTGCTATGTTAGAATTTGTAGATTATAAAATGACCTTTGTTTGAAGCATCTTGTATTGTGGGGATCACGTGGCTAAGTGGGTAAGACGCTAGCTCGCTAGCCTGGAGGTCGGGTGTTCGATCCCTGCATTGGCCGAGAAAGTTCATCCAGATTTTCCGGCGTGGTTCTCCCTTGTCAGTGATGCAGGACGGAGGGACTGACAAGGAAAGCTGTCTAGTCATTCGGATGGGACGAAAAACCGAGGTCCTGTGTACACATTGGCGTGCACATAAAAGATCCCTTGGCAGTTGGAATTCGATATAAGAGTAGGCCGCAGTGCCGCTGTCCGGGCAAAATTTCCCTCATAGCACACTGTATGGCGTATGCCCGTCTTCATTAGCCCAAGTTAGGAGCAGAACAGTAGGACGTTAAACCCCATTTCATTTCATTTCATTTCATTTCATTTTGTATTGTTTCATTGTCAGATTAAATATGTTAATGTATATTTATAATAACACATTACACAATTATACGCCTAACAAGTTACTTCAAAAGTTTATTTCTGGAGATTTGCTTGACAATGACGAGAGAACCCTTGATGAAATGTCCCCAGAAATAAACTTGTGTGTTATTGTCATTCAGTTACTAAATGCCACTCAAACAATTTATATTTATGACATTCTATTAAAGATACATTCCCACCAAAATATTTATAGGGTAGTTATTTCTAATAAAAGCATGGCATATTTGTTATGTGGAAAGAAGAGATGCACATTTTTACTAGAAAATTTTTAGATTCCCTGCCCCCCCCCCCCCCCCAACATTTGGTGCACACAGTGCAAACATGTCACAAACCTGCAGACTGTCTGCTTGGTATGTGTTAATTGAACGGCTAGTAATGAAATGAAATGGGGTATAATGTCCTACTGTTCTGCTCCAAACTGGGCTAATGAAGATGGGCATACGCCATGTGTACTATTAGGGAAATTTTGCCCGGACAGGGCCACTATGGCCTACTCTTATATTGAATTCCAACTGTCAAGGGATCTTTACGTGCACGAGAATGTGTACATGGGACCGTGGTTGAATGGCTAGTTGTTGTGAGAACACTGCATGCTTTAAGTAGAGTGCGACCCTCTATTTCCCTATATATGAGTTAAATAAATTGTTTCAATATTTTAGCACTGTGATGGGGATCGATGCCAACTTGCAGGATGAATTATTTAAATTGATGGAACAAAATTACGGAAACACCATATCGAAATCAGAATACATGGAAATTATTAAAGAAATTATTCAGAGTAAAGACTTACTGACTGTATTTGAATTGGATTCACGTAATTCTACAAATGATGTTGATATGGCCATCTTGAAAGCTTTATTGAAAGGTAAGGATTACCAGTCGAAATTCCTGGCTTGAAATATTCAAAATATCTGATCATCTATGCAAGTGACAAGAGTCTTACCCCATGCTTGTATGTGACAAGATGTACGTTTGCTAGGTTAACGGCAATATTTAAAATGACTGGATCATCTGTGCAAGTGACAAGAGTTTGTTTCGATACTTGTATGTGACCTGATGTACGTTTGCTAGTCTAATGCCAATATTTAAAATCCCTGGATCATTGATGCAAATGATGAGAGTTTCGTCCCATGCTTCTGGTCGAACGTTGTGGGTTTTCTATGTTTGCCTTCCATTGATAAAGAAATGAAATGAAATGAGGTTTAACGTCCTACTGTTCTGCTCCGACTGGGCTAATGAAGACGGGCATACACCATACAGTGTGCTATGAGGAAAATTTTGCCCGGGCAGCGGCACTATGGCCTACTCTTATATTGAATTCCAATTGCCAAGGGATCTTTTACATGTATGCCAATGTATACACGCGACCTCAGTTTTTCGTCCCATTCGAACAACTAGACAGCTGTCCTTTTCAGGCCCTCCATCCTGCATCACTGACAAGGGGGAACCACGCCTGAAAATCTGGATGAACTTTCTCGGCCAATGCAGGGATCGAACACCCGACCTCCAGGCTAGCGAGCCAGTGCCTTACCCACTTAGCCACCGTGACCCCCGCTATTTGAGAGCTTAAAAACCCTATTTCCTACTAGACCGGAGGCTCAGTGCAGGGGGGGGGGGGGGGGCATCAAATGGGCACAAAACCAAACCCAACTTTTCAATAGTAAAATTTTTCACAAAATATGATGCTGAGTGGTAATCAGTCTGCCGTTGGGGCCTTTTCGTGATATTTGGGTCAGAGGTCAAATGAGGTCATTTGCACTGAAAGTGAATGATACCCTAACGACGGACTTATTACCACTCGGCATCGTATTCTACGCAAAATTTTACTATTGAAAAGTTGGGTTTGGTTTTGTGCCCATTTGATGAGCCTCCAGACTATACCATGACCTCTTTTGACCAATCTTAAATCTTTGTCGTATTCTATTATGTAGATAATCGTAATGATGTTATGGACCAACTGGAACTAGCTTTAGTCTGGGATAAAATGGAAGTCGCTAAAAAAGAAATATTAGGTGACGACAATTTGGATAAAAAGGTAAAGTATAGTTAGATTTATTACAATTTTCTATGAGAAAATAAACAATAATAGTATTTCACAGTCCTGTATGTATATCCCAAGTTTCAATTATTAAAGGGGGGTTGGATGGCTGAATGGTTAGAGTGCGCGCGTTGTATCATAAAGTCTGTCATTGAGTCGACTGGCGTGGTTTCAAATCCCCGGTTGTACGTGGCAAGGAGTAGGGTCGCCTGTCCAACCTCGTGGGTTTTCTCCGGGTCCTCCGGTTTCCTCCCACTGCTAAAGACCCCTATGCGCAAGCGACTTATTGAAATAAAATTAAACCATATGTTAGTCCCGAAATGACCTAGTTTGTGTCGAGTGGATGTTAAACCCCATCTCTCTCTCTCTCTCTCTCTCTCTCTCTATATCTCTCTCTCTCTCACTCTCTCTCTCTCTCTTTCAATTATTAAAATGTTTATAAGAGAGAGAGAGAGAAATTGTTTTTTTGACTAAAATATGATTTAATTTTATTTCAATAATTCGCTTACACATAGAGTTCTTTAGCAGTGGGAGGAAACTGGGGGACCTGGAGAAAACCCATGAGGTTGGACAGGCGACCCTGCATGCAACGGTTGATTCCCCAGTTGTATGTGACAAGGAGTAGGGTTGCCGGCCCAACCTTGTAGGATTTCTTCTTGTCCTCCAGTTTCCTCCCACTGCAAAAACCCCCTGCATGCATGCAAAGGTTGATTCCCTAGTTGTACATGACAAGGAGTAGGGTTGCTTTCCCAACCTTGTAGGATTTCTTATGTGCAAACAAACCATATGTTAGTCCCGACATGACCTAGATTGTTTCGACTGGACATTAAACCCCATTTCTCTTTCATGTATCCCAAGTTTCATTTAGTCATTGAAACATTATATAAATTAATTTGATATGTTGTTTTGTTTTTTTTCCTTCAGAATTTAAGATTACCGGAGAAAATGTTGACCGCGATACAGAGAGATCGTGTTAGTTTCGTTGATCTGTTTATAGATCATGGTGTCAACTTGAAACAGTTTTTAACTCGGGATAGACTGCTTACCCTGTATGATACGGTGAGTTGAATATTGTCTGTCATTATTGGAGGCTGGGATAGTCGAGCAGTTGGGGTAATCTTGACTAAGGAGGTGGGGGTGGTCGAAACAATGAAATAGGTTTTATTGGAATATTCAAGCAGTTGGGGTAGTCTTGATTAAGAAGGCGGGGGTGGTCGTATGGTTTAACGAGTACGCTTTAGATCTGTCGATGAGTCAAGTGGCGTGGATTCGAGCCCACATTTGTACGTGACACAGAGTAGAATCACCTGTCCCACCATATGAACTGGTGCTACTCATTTTCGAAAGATATGTGAATTCAATTTCAAGCTGTTTACGTTAATTTGATAACCTAGCTAATATTATTAAACGCAACAATTTTTTTTTCTTCAGATTCCAGAAAATTGTATTTTACGTAACCTCCTTCGTCAAAAAGCCTCTCAAAAGGGACAGGTAAGATATATGTATTTCTGTACGGACATCGTTGATGTTTTTGTTTTGATTTTGTTACTTGTCTAAGAGTATTTTTTTAGTTTTGTTACTTGTCTAAGTCCATCTGGATTTTCCAGCATGGTACCCCCTTGTCAGTGGTGCAGGGAGCCTGACAAATGACAACATATAGTCATTCGGATGGCCCGAAAAATCAAGGTCCCATCTACACGTTGGCGTGCATTTAAAAGAACCCATGACATTTTGTAAGAGTAGGCTGTAGTGCCGCTGTCCAGGCAAAATTTCCCTCATAGCACACTGTATGGCATATGCCGTCTTCATTAGCCCAGTCTGAGTAGAACAGTAGGATGTTAAACCCCATTTGATTTACTTGTCTAAGAGTATTTAGTTAATTGTGTTACTCGTCTCATAATATAGTGTTAATTGTGTTACTTGTCTCTTAATATTATGTTAATTATGTTACTTGTCTTGTAATATTATGTTAATTGTGTTACTCGTCTTGTAACTCGTCTTGTAATGTTATGTTAATTATGTTACTCGTCTCATAATATTATGTTAATTGTGTTACTTGTCTCATAATATTATGTTAATTGTGTTACTTGTCTTGTAATATTATGTTAATTATGTTACTCGTCTTGTAATATTATGTTAATTATGTTACTTGTCTTGTAATATTATGTTAATTGTGTTACTTGTCTTGTAATATTATGTTAATTATGTTAATTATGTTACTTGTCTCTTAATATTATGTTAATTTTGTACCTAAAAGGATTATTTCAATTGAGGTGTCTATATTGTTAGGTTCACGTCTGTTAAATAGCTTATTAAAAGCATTTTGTTAGATAAATGACCATGTTGTGTTGAAGCCAATAATCGGGATGTTGATTGGTCGAATGCCTGTCATTGAGTGGGGGTTGAGTGGCTGAATGGTTAACCGGTGCACGTTGGATCATAAGGTCTGTCATTGAGTCAAGTGGCATGGTGTCAGTCCACTGGTTGTACATGACAAGGAGTAGGGTCGCTTGTCTAACCTCATGGGTCCTTCAGTTTCCTCCTACTGCTAAAGACCCCTAAGCACAAGCAATTAATGGAATAAATTTAAACCATGTTAGTCCCCGAAATGATCTAGTTTGTGACAAGTAGACCTTAAACCCCATCTCTCTTTCTCTCTCTCTCTCTCTCTCTCTCTCTCTCTCATTGAATTAAGTGGCCTTGTGTTAAGGCTCACACTGGTACATGACAAGAAGTAGTCGCCTGCCCAACCTCATTGGTTTTCTCCAGGTGTTCCGGTTTTCTCCCACAGCTAAAAATCCTCTAGTATAAAATTGAACCATATTTTAGTTCCAAGATGTCCTTTCACTGGGACCAGCAATCAATTGATATTATAATATGGTGTCTTTATTTTCAGAAATTGCAAACCATAACATTTCTACATGTAAATGGCCTTCTACAAGATCTGCTGGGAGATTATTTTGTACCATATTATAATAGACCGCCGTATCACCATGACAACAAGAGTGACGTGAGTGAGGCTGTAACCAGTGCATCAGATATACCACATGCAGTGGGTAAGTTGGTTGAAAATAACATGAGAATATACTGATGGATGTAGAGCTACAGACATGATTGGTTTTCACGCATGTATACACACTAGAGCTACTGCACTTCAGACATCGTTGGGTGTCTTCAAGCAGTATCCAGGTACCACTAACATCTAAAAATAATTGTATACATAAAAATACAAAACAAAATAACCATATGTTAGTCTCAACCAGATGTTAGACACAAAATAACCATATGTTAGTCTCAACTATATGTTAGACACAAAGTAACCACATGTTAGTCTCAACTATATGTTAATCTCAAAATAACCACATGTTAGTCTCAAAATAACCAGTTGTTAAGCACAAAGTAACCACATGTTAGTCTCAACTATATGTTAGTCTCAAAATAACCATATGTTAGTCTCTGAATAATCCCAGACATAAACTATAATGGTATATTTTCAGGTTCAGGTGTTCAGAGGAAATTGGATCATCCCATACAGGATTTATTTATCTGGAGTATTCTGATGAACAGACAGGAAATGGCCAAATTATTCTGGGTGGAATTAGATGTATGTAAACAAGTTTTTATTTTATTTTAATTCATTTAGAGGCATGCTATTTATTTTACCTGACATTTTATTTGAATTCCTCTACCTCGCACGTAATAATGTTATTAATCACAAATGAATTGTTACCTGGTTTTAAATCAATAAAATCAATACAAAATACAGATCAGCGCCTGATAAAAATGATTTTACCTGACATTTTATTTTATTTCCTCTACAGACTGGAAAATACTGATTCTAATCTTACCTGACATTTTATTATCCCCCTCCTTTCGAAGAAATCAGGGCACTATTAAAATGGGTCTGTCCATCCGTCCGTCACACTTTTTGAGACACATTTAAACTTGATGTAGGTGTTTATTAAGGGAATCCCTTGACTAAGTTTGACGACAAGCATTTGCTACTTATGCTAAGCAGATATACGCAATTTGATTGGTTGATGCTTTGATGTGAACATACACATCAAATAACCCTTTGTTGTCCCTTCCGAATGACTGGACAATGTCCTACACCTCAAGACAATAGGATACCAGACTGTAAAATTATCAACAGAGAGAGAGAGAGAGAGAGAGAGAGAGAGAGAGAGAGATGAGGTTTAACATCCATTCTACACAAACTAGGTCATTTCGGGACTAACACATTGTTCAATTTTATTTCAATAATTAGCTTGCGCATCTTTAGCAGTGGGAGGGGTTACGATTCCCCAGTTGTACATGACAAGGAGTATAGTCGCCTGTCCAACCTCGCGTGGGTTTTCTCCGGGTCCTCCGGTTTCCTCCCACTGCTAAATACCCCTATGCACCGCGCACGGGAATTATTGAAATAAAATTAAACCATATGTTAGTCCCAAAATGACCTAGTTTGTGTTGAGTGGACGTTAAACCCCATTTCTCTCTCTCTCTGTTACATGTATAAATATTAATGATCATGTTTTATCTCCGTAGGAACCGATTGCAGCTGCTTTATTTGCCAATGGTTTGTATAAAGGTTTAAAGATGATATCAGTGGACACAGAAATATCTCAGATTCTACAACAAAATGCTGAGTAAGTTGGATTCTTTTCTTTATTGTGCCTTACATCATTTGAACACATAAAGGGGTAGGAGTGTAGGGTCAAACTGGCTTAGACTCTCTGTTATTTTACAGGCTCTGTTATTTTGCAGACTCTGTTATTTTGCAGACTGTTATTTTACAGGCTGTTTTTTTGCTGACTCTGTTATTTTACAGACACTGTTATTTTGCAGAATGTTATTTTACAGACTCTGTTTTTTTAACCCCTTAGCTCCAAAAAAGGACTCCTTAGACTGTCCCAACCACCTTGTCACATGCATAACAGTGGCGCATGCATGAACTAACAAATGTTCCTAATACATGTAGTTGAGACAGTCTAGGAAACATCAGTTTCAGACTGTTTTGGTCTGTATTAATATAACACTTGTCTCTCACGTCTGCTTCAAGGAGCTGAGGTCGTCATTATTTACATTTTCCAAGTACTAAAAGCGTAAAAACTTTGTTATTTTAAAAATAGTGATATAAAGACAAAAGTAAAGTGGCATTTACACGATACAAACCAATCCGTACAAACCAATCCATATCGAACAACTGTTTAAAGGAGCTAAATCGCTAACATGTGGGACCTAGAAATTCACAAAAGTGGGTCGCAACGCATATAATACTGTAATATGAATGTATATAAACTGATTTACATTTAATGGTTTCCGTTTTTACTCCAATTTCAAATCAGTTATGTTCGGCGAAATAAGTCAACAATCTCAATCGAGTGCAAATTTCTAGCGTCTAGTTATTCTAGTCTACATAACTCCATTTGATTTGGTGCAATTTCAAATCAGTTATGTTCGGCGAAATAAGTCAGCAATCTCAATCGAGTGCAAATTTCTAGCGTCTAGTTATTCTAGTCTACATAACTCGATTTGATTTGGTGCAATGTGTCTAGCCTCGTCCCTCGAGTCTTTCAATACAACTGGGGCTGAAGCGCATTATGGTACACGATTCGTGTACCAATGTTAAAAAAATTATTTTATCTTAAATATCGGATATCAGAAGCTCATCTTTTCCCAGTAAGTTTACATCATCAATGTTGATTTAAATTGACCAATTATTCGTGTTTTCGATGTCGAAGATTTTGGAGGATTTTGAGTTATTGACTTAGGTCCTTTAAAGTATACAATGGTTTTATCCGTTGTATGGCCACATTTGTTCCTTCTTAGTAACTGAATAAAATGGCACCAATAGACCCCAAGGTGACACTTTTAATCCCCATCGTCGTGTAGTTTTGATGCCGCAGTTTACACAAAGTCCATGCTTTGTATACAGAGTTATTCGATATTCTTATTCAGTCGCGGATAGGTTTAGATCCATTTTAAAAGACATCAGAGCACTTGAAGTGATAGAAAACGACATTTTTTCTTGATGCCAAGTCAGATATTAACATCATACATCGTATGACATTGTCTAATGTAACGCAATTTGATTGGCTGTTACATCAGTTGGTCGGATGAGAATAGAACTGGTCCAATCCCTACAACAAGCTGTCCATCTGACCATTTGTCTGATGAGTTGGTCGGATGGAACCGTTGCATCTGACAGTTGTATGTTTTTTTTTTTATCAGTAAACGCTGCTTAAAAGTCATGGTTGAAGAGGTGGGAGGAGATTTTATTGTAAATAAACTGGAAATGATATGAGTGTTCATCAAAATGTCTTCTTTTTACAAGGGGGTCACGTTCGCTAAAAGGGTATGACGCTGGCTCGCTAGCTGGGAGGTCAGGTGTTCAATCCCTGCATTGGCCGAAAAAGTTATTCCAGATTTTCCAGCGAGGTCCTGTGTACACATTGGCGTGTATATAAAAGATCCCTTGACAGTTGAAATTCGATATAAGAGTAGGACGTAGTGCCGCTGTCTGGGCAAAATTTCCCTCATAGAACACTGTATGGCGTATGCCCGTCTTCATTGGCCGAGTTTGGAGCAGGACAGTAAACCTCATTTCATTTCATTTTTCTTTTATGCAATCTGTGAGAGACAGGTCTGAACCCTATTTTTTTTTTTTTTTCCAGTGAATTTGAAAATCTTGCCATTGGTGTGTTAAATTCTTGTTATGAGAAAGATGAGAATAAGGCGCAGGATTTATTGATACGAGAATTACCGAACTGGGGAGAGACGACGTGTGTTTTAATGGCCGTACAATCGGACAATAAAAGGTTTATATCTCAGACGGCCTGCCAGACATTACTCAATTCTATTTGGATGGGAAAATTATCGTCACATAATAGTATACTCAGGGTAGGTATTTTATTTAATTTATTGATAATAACGCAGACGTAAATCATAACAGCGGCAATGAAAATGATAGGCGTGTGAGGGAATCTACCTGGTAAAGCCTGAATTTGTACCTGACTTGAAATGAAGGGGATCACGGTGGCTAAGTGGGTAAGGTGCTGGCTTGCTAGCCTGAAGTCGGGTGTTTGATCCCTGCATTGGCCGAGAAAGTTCATCCAGATTTTCTGGCGTGGTTCCCCCTTGTCAGTGATGCAAGACGGAGGGCCTGACAAGGAAAGCTGTCTAGTCCTTCGGATGGGACGGAAAACCGAGATCCCCTGTACACATTGGCGTGCATGGAAAAGATCCCTTGACAGTTGGAATTCGATAAGAGTAGGCCGTAGTGTTGCTGTTCAAGGAAAATTTCCCTCATAGCACACTGTATGGCGTATTCCCGTCTTCATTAGCCCTGTTCGGAGCAGAACAGTAGGATGTTTTACAGGCTTATTTATCGAACATATTTTTGATGGTATAGTATACGGTAATCAAATTTGAAACTGCGGATTAAAAACAGCAAAATTATTTAAAAACTACAAAATTATTAAAAACAATAAAATTATTTAAATTAAAAACAACAAAAGTATTTAAAAAGAACAAATTGATTAAAAACACCAAACTTATATAAATACACGAAATTTTTTAGAAACTTTCAAATTTAGAAACTTCCAAATTATATAAAAACAACACAATTATATATAAAAAAAATCACCACTACCAAAATTATTTAAAAACACCCAAATTATTTATAAAAGACCTAAGTATCCTGACTATTTCTATCAATGAAATATTTATATTTAAATAAAAGATTATTTTACAAACTGAGGATATTGTTTACATGTTTGAATTTTTTTTGTTTATTTCAGATTTTACCCAGCATTGTTTTATTTCCATTGATATTTTTTCTCGTCAAGTTTAAAGATGATGAAAACCGACATAATTCAGAAATGGTTTGTGATTTTAATCGTTATTATACATGAGTAGATAAAGATGAGCGATTCATCCAGTTATCCCAATTTGTAGTAACTAGTTTCGTTCATCTTGAACTGGGGGGTTGGATGGCCGAATGGTTAGCGCGTGCGCGCAGTATCATACGGCCTGAGTCAACTGGCGTGGTTTTCGATTCCCCGGTTGTCCGTGACAAGGAGTAGGGTTGCCTGTTCAACCTCGTGAGTTTTCCTCCCACTGCTGTAGACCCCTACGAGCAAGCGAATTATTGAAATAAAATCGAACCATATGTTAGTCTCTCTTTCATATTGAATTCTTGAGACTCAATTGGTGGGGTTTAGAGTAAAGATCTTTACGACATTGGTAAACTTCGACCATTTATAACGTCAAATATCGCTAAAATGTTAACTAACGCTTTCGTTCTCTCCAAACTAGATTACTGCAATTCGCTTCTATACCAATTACCAGCATCAGATATAAACAGACTCCAGAAAATTCAGAACAAAGCTGCACGTATCGTTTCTCTAACTAAACAATCTGAACACATTACTCCAGTACTCCAAAATCTTCATTGGCTACCAGTTTATCAACGAATTAATTTTAAGATCGGTCTTTTAACTTTTAATTGTCTAAATAATAACTGTTCCCCACAATATCTTAATGAACTTTTAACCCCGTATAAACCAAGCAGGAACCTACGCTCTGCTGATAAAAACTTACTTCATGTTCCTACAGTAAAAACTAAAACTGGTGAACGGGCTTTTGTTTACGCCTCTGCTAACGTGTGGAATGAATTACCTAGACATGTAAAAGACTCTACTAACGTTGCTGTTTTTAAAAAAAATCTTAAAACCAAACTTTTTAAACGTGCTTTTAAACTATGAACATGTTGACATTTTAATGTTTTAGAACTATTAGTTTTATATTATATGTAATATTTTAATTGTGAAAAGCGCTATACAGCTGTTAGCTGTTAGCTGGAGCACTCAGCGCTATACAAAAAAAAAAAAAAAAAAAAAAAATGATTATTATTATTATAAGTCACTCATCTACAGTCATAAAAAAAGTATTGAAACTGTATTCGATCTAAGGAGCCATGGTCACTCAGTGAATAGGACTTTGGCTAGCATGTCCGGGCTTCGACCCCAGTTTTGAAAGTTCATCAGGATTTTCCAGCATATTTCCCCCTTGTCAGTGGTGCAGGACAAAGGGCTTGGCAAGGGACAATGTATAGTCGTTCGAATGGAGCAAAAAACAGAGGTCCCGTAACATATTGGTGTACACATAAAGAGCACTTAATTTTTTATATATGCCCACATTGGAATGTGGTCAGATATTGTCGACGGCCTGCCTGTTGGTTCAGCATCCTACATAGCACACTGTATAGGGTATGCCAGTCTTCAGTATCCCAGTCGGATTAGAATAGTAGGACGTTAAACCTCATTTCATTTCGTTTCTATTCAGTCTTGGGTAAGACGCTGGCTTGCTAGCCTGGAGGTCGGGTGTTCGATCCCTGCATTGCCCGAGAAAGTTCATCCAGATTTTCCTGCGTGGTTCGCCCTTGTCAGTGATGCGGGAAAGAGGGCCTGACAAGAACAGCTGTCTAGTCGTTCAGATGGGACGAAAAGCCAAGGTCCCGTGTACACATGGGCATGTACGTAAAAGATCCCTTGACAGTTAGAATTTGATATAAGAGTAGGCGATAGTGCCGCTGTCCGGGCAAAATTTCCCTTATAGTACATTGTATGGCGTATGACTGTCTTCATTAGCCAAGTCGGAGCAGAACAGAAGGATGTTAAACCCCATTTCATTTCATTTCGTTTTTATTCAGTCTATTATAATGAAATCACATTAATTATTCAAAACTGAAAACTGTATGCAATGCTCTGTCTTTGTCTATTTCGACTCTCTCTGTCCGTCCACAAATCTTATACACAGGTCAGGGTTTTTGAGATTTTTATATCAAACTTGCTAGGATTTTTTTGACTACTTCTAAAAAAAACAAAACATATCAGAATTATTAGTTGTGAAACCTTATACAGCTGTCTAGTCGTCCGGATGTGACGAAAAACTGAGGACCCGCGATACATTACCGTGCATGTAATAGATCCCTTGACAATTGAAATTCGATATAAGAGTAGGCCATAATGCCGCTTCCTGGGCAACATTTCACTCAGGTAACTGTATGGCGTATGTCCTGCTTCATTAGGCCAGTAGGAGCAAAACATTAGGACGTTAAACCCCATATCATTTCATTTCGCGAAACCTTATATATGCTCAACATGTACATGAGAGTTTAAAAGTTGACCATCAATTCTACTGGTGGGGATATATATGTTTATTGCCTGCCAACCTATGTTTAAGTTTGATCAATATTATTTGTGGTTAACAAGATTACAGAATTGATAAAAAAACAAGTTACGAATAAAATAAATCATGTTTACTTGTAGAAGATTGGTGATACTGAATATGATCCAAGTGTAAGTCAGATGTAAGTTATCGTTTATTTTCAAACACAGATCCTATTTCATTTCGTTTTTTATAGTTCAAAATTTCTTTTTACTTGTCTTTACTACACTAGGATCTGGAAGAGTTGTTATCATTGAAGTGTTCTGCATGGTGTGAGAGATTAGCCAATGAAACGGTCTGTTACGACAAGCTTTAGGCATGTTTTGCATGGAACTGTGGGTAATCCACTAAGAACATCAATGCTGATTGGTTAATCAAATGTCTGATGTCATAGGGTCAAAAGCCGCTCATATGACCTTTGATGCAACCTATCGCTACAACCGGCCAGATCTTCATGTAGTGTAGGCTATCGAAAGTATAAAAAAACGAAACGAAATAAAGATCTGTATTTTAATCAGACCGAGTTGTAAAAGCAGGGCTTTTGTTTCCGAGCTTGTATGTGACAATTAGTAGGGTTGCCTGTTCAACCTCGTGGGTTCTCCGGTTTCCTCCCACTGCTAAAAATACCCTTACATGCAGGCGAGTTACTGAAATGACAAAGTTTGTGACGAGTGGGCGTTAAACCCCATTTCTCTCTCCATTTATTTACAAATCATGACAAAGGATGAGGTGTTATTACCGTTACCTAGGAAGTTATAGAAATGTGCAGGTACTAAATTATGAGAAAGGGTGAGATCTTATTACTGGTACCTAGAAAGTTATAGAAATGTACAGGTACTAAATTATGAGAAAGGGTGAGATCTTATTACTGGTACCTAGAAAGTTATAGAAATGTACTGGTACTAAATTATAAGAAAGGGTGAGATCTTATTACTGGTACCTAAAAAGTTATAGAAATGTACAGGTACTAAATTATGAGAAAGCGTGAGGTCTTCTTACTGGTACCTAGAAAGTTATAGAAATGTACAGGTACTAAATTATGAGAAAGCGTGAGGTCTTCTTACCGGTAACTAGAAAATTATAGAAATGTACAGGTACTAAATTGCAGGGAAAATAAACGACTGGCTTACTAAATGAACACTTAAGATATACTAATCAACTATTGTGTTTATTTTACAGAGACGATAAGAGAAATCAGAATCAAGCACGAGCAAGAAATTGTTCGAAATTAAAACAGTTTTACCTCGCTCCTGCCGTTATATTTTACCTCAACGTTGTAAGTTTGATTTTCATTTAATTTCTATTTTCTATGTTCGCTCACATGTGAGCTGCTCCCACGAAACCAGACTTTTGGTCATTTTTATAAAAATAGAGCTGGCAGCATATTTGAATAGTCCACAGCCTAAGCTTTTCAAAAATACAATTCTTTTCATCTGGAGTTGAGTTTGACTCATTTATAGCAAAAAGAAGGCATATAGTTTATGCTTTTGTGAACGTAGTACAAAATGAAGTTGTGCGACAAGCGCCTGGTTTCGTGGGAGCAGGTCGCATATATTCTTTTTATTTTTATAATGTAGAGTTCATGTATACCCTCACATTTTGGTGGTTGGATGGCCGAATGGATAGCACGTGCACGCTGTATCATAAGGCCTGTCATTGAGTCAACTGGCGGGGTTTCGATTCCTCGGTTGTACGTGACAAGGAGTAGAGTCGCCTATCCAACCTCGTGGGTTTTTTCCGGGTCCTTCGGTTTCCTCCCACTGCTAAAGACACCTATGCGCAAGCGAATTATGGAAATAAAATTAAACCATATGTTAGTCCCGAAATGACCTAGTTTGTGTCGAGTGGACGTTAAACCCCATTTCTCTCTCTCTCTCTTGTCATTGAGTCAACTGGTGTGGTTTTGATTCTTCCCCGGTTGTATGCAACAAGGAATAGGTTCGCCTGTCCAACCTCGTGGGTTTTTTTCTGGGTCCTCCGGTTTCCTCCCACTGCTAAAGACCCTACCCTACGCGCAAGTGAATTATTGAAATGAAATTGAACCATGTGTTAGTCTCGAAATGACCTAGTTTGTGTCGAGTGGAGGTTAAACCCCATTTCTCTCTCTCTCTCGTCAGTGATGCAGGACAGAGGGCCTGACAAGGACAGCTGTCTAGTCCTTCGGATGAGACGAAAAACCGAGGTCCCGTGTATACATTGGAATGCACGTAAAAGATCCCTTGGCAGTTGGAATTCGATATAAGAGTAGGCGATAGTGCCGCTGCCTGGGCAAAATTTCCGTCATAGCACACTGTATGGCGTATGCCCGTCTTCATTAGCCCAGGTTAGGAGCAGAACAGTAGGACGTTAAACCCCATTTCATTTCATTTCATTTTCTCTCTCTCTCTCTGTTTCGATGTTTAATTTGTAATGATATTTTATATATTTGTTTTGTTTCAGTTTACGTACCTGGTGTTTTTATATATTTGTAATGATATTTTATATGTTTGTTTTGTTTCAGTTTACGTACCTGGTGTTTTTATATATTTGTAATGATATTTTATATGTTTGTTTTGTTTCAGTTTACGTACCTGGTGTTTTTATATATTTGTAATGATATTTTATATATTTATTTTGTTTCAGTTTACGTACCTGGTGTTTTTATATATTTGTAATGATATTTTATATGTTTGTTTTGTTTCAGTTTACATACCTGGTGTTTTTATATATTTGTAATGATATTTTATATGTTTGTTTTGTTTCAGTTTACGTACCTGGTGTTTTTATATATTTGTAATGATATTTTATATGTTTGTTTTGTTTCAGTTTACGTACCTGGTGTTTTTATATATTTGTAATGATATTTTATATATTTGTTTTGTTTCAGTTTACGTACCTGGTGTTTTTATATATTTGTAATGATATTTTATATGTTTGTTTTGTTTCAGTTTACGTACCTGGTGTTTTTATATATTTGTAATGATATTTTATATGTTTGTTTTGTTTCAGTTTACGTACCTGGTGTTTTTATATATTTGTAATGATATTTTATATGTTTGTTTTGTTTCAGTTTACGTACCTGGTGTTTTTATATATTTGTAATGATATTTTATATATTTTTTTTGTTTCAGTTTACGTACCTGGTGTTTTTATGTTTGTACAGTTATCATATTCTAATTAGTTTTAACCGACAGTTCACCATTATCGAAGGAATTATCTGTGGATGGGTCGTCACCATATTCGTCGAGGAAATGAGACAGGTATGTTAATTTCATCATTGAGTTTATTCATGAGAGGGGGGGTTGGAATGGCCGAATGGTTAGCACGTGTGTGCTGTATCATAAGGTCTGTCATTGAGTCAACTGGCGTGGTTTCGAATCCCTGGTTGTACGTGAGAGGTAGTAGGGTCGCCTGTTCAACCTTGTGGGTTTTCTCCGGGTCCTCCAGTTTCCTCCCACTGCTAAAGACCCCTACACGCAAGCGAATTATTGAAATAAAATTAAACCATATATTAGTCCCGAAATGACATAGTTTGTGTCGAGTGGACGTTAAACCCCATTTCTCTCTCTCTCTTATTCATGAGTTATCTGTCATTGAGTGGAGGGGGAGGGGGTGGATGGCCGAATGATTATGAGTTCTGTCATTGAGTCAAGTGGTATGGTTTCAATTCCCTGCTTGTACTTGACTAGAAGTAGGGTCAGTCGCCTGTCTATCCTTGTGCGTCATCCTGTTTCCTATTAGTGCGAAACCAAATTATTGAAATAAAATTGAAACATATGTTTCTCCCGAAATGTCCTGGTATGTGTTAAACCCTGTTACTCTATTTCTGCGAAAGGGTTGTTACAATATTTGTTGAGGTAAAGGTGCCCAGTATGTCAAACAAATCATCAATTTTGCTCATTAAACTTTGAATAAACAGCATTTTGTAAGAACAGCATTTAGTAAGAACAGCATTTAGTAAAAAAAAAGCATTTTGTAAGAACAGCATTTGAAAATAAAATCCACAGATCGATGTAAAACAATTATTGTATTTTAACCTGGGTATCATTGAAGTTTACAAGAGAAAGCAAACACCGCTACCTGGGTATCATTTAATTTTGTGTATCTACCACTAATTTCTTTCTCGATTGTCTGATATCAAATCTTTGTTTAAAAATTCATAAAAATTGTTTAAAAGTCGTTTAAAATTACCCAAAAAACCCATGTGCAAGCAAATTTTTCAAATAAAAATGTACCATATGTTAGTCCAGAAATGACCCAGTTTCAGTCATGTAGTTTTTAAACCCTGTTTCTCTCTCTAGTTTATTTCACAGTTCATATCTTCCTTTCTTAATTTTTATGCTTTACAAATTTTGTGTAAAAAATTTCAAATCAATTTGTGCGCTATTAATAAAAAACATGTTCTTTTTTTTTTGTCAGTGTTCTTTCCGGATTGCACACACGATAAAAAAACTGTCTGCTTTTGTTTAACCTATTTGATTGATTTTTTTATATTTTTTTAAACAATATTTTTATTCAGGATGTCTGAATGGGATTGGGGATCAGGCTTGGCCTATGTAAACCTCCCCTCCCGTGATTGTATAATCCAATCAAATTGGGTTGATTTATGAGAGTGAATTGACCATGCCATAGCATATTCAATCCCGTTCATTTGAAAAGGAAAAATTATTGGCTGTGTTCCTGTATATAATAAGTGGGGGGCTGGATGGCCGACAAAAGGTTATCACGTGCGAGCTGTATCAATCATAAGGTCAGTCATTGAGTCAACTGGCGTGGTTTCGATTACCCGGTTGTACGTGACAAGGAGTAGGTTTGCCTGTCTAACCTCGTGGGTTTTCTCTGGGTCCTCTGGTTTCCTTCCACTGCTAAAGACCCCTACACGCAAGCAAAAATTATGGAAATAAGATTAAAAACCATATGTTAGTCCTGAAATGACCTAATTTGTCTCGAGTGGACGTTAAACCCTGTCTCTCTCTCTTTTTTATAGCATCTGCAGAAGAGGTCGGATGTCGACAAAATTTATTGTATCTTTGTAAATAAGGAAAGGAATTGAAACGTTTTTGGACAGATATTTCTTTCAGAGATGCAACTTTCACAATATTTTAGTTTACAAGATATAGCCAACACTATAACCCAGGTATCATTTAATCTTGTGTATCTAGCACTAATTTCTTTCACATTCGTTTAATACCAAATCTTTGTTTAAAAATTCATAAAAATTGTTTAAAATCACCAAAAATTATCTAATTTGTACTTGTGTCCCGTTAAAAGCAGACTGTTCAATTTTGAAAATGAGTGTCCAATTTGCAAGTGTTTAAATATCTCGATCCCTGTTAAAAAATAAACAACCCAATTGATTATTGATGTGTAATGATTAAGTGGTCTCGGAAATTTAATACTTGTAAATTGAACATTCATTATCAAAATTAATCAGTCAGCTTTAAACTGGACACAAGTACAAATTAAATGATTTGGGGTGATTTTAAATGATTTTTACAAATTTTTCAACAAAGATTTGATATTGAATGAATGTGAAAGAAAATAGTTGTAAATATACAAGATTAAATGACACCTGGGTTACAGTGAAAATATCTCAAATAACACCTAGATATTTTAGCCAACATAATTTCATTTTGTTTTTTGAGAATTTTCACCATTTTGTCTGTTCGTAGGTTTTAAACTCGAAAGAAACAGTAAGTGGTGAAACAGGTTATTTTAATTCATGACTTCTTGTAGTCTAGGTCACTGCATACTAATGTCTTGGAGCATCCTGGGCAAAATTCTCCCCTAGTAATTTTGCACTGATACCCAAATTGACCCAATTATTGTTATATAAGGTTCATATCCTAGGAGTTTTCTTCTATTCGTGTACAAGGATACTTTGGATCAGGGACTTAGCTGAAAGTTGAATCAGCCATCTTGGAATTCTGACATATTAAAAATTGAAATCGGTCACAAGCGATGAAAAGTTGTCCAAGAAACCAGAATACCCAATCTGATTAGAATACAGATCTATATTCTGTTTGTTTTTTTTTTTTTTAATACTTTCGATGGCTACATGAAGATCTGACCAGTTGTAGCGATAGGTCGCTTCAAAGGTTCTACCAGCGGCTTTTGACCCTATGACATCAGACATTTGATTAACCAATCAGCATTGATGTTCCTAGTAGATTACCCACAGTTCCGTGCAAAACACGCATAAAGATCTGTGTTTTACTCAGATTGAGTGAAACCTTGGGCATTTTTGGAAGAGCGTGGCCCCAAAGAAGAACTAGAACAACACGTTGAGTAGCCCTTTGAGCTCATTTCCTGATCCCAATATTTAAGAGCTGTCAGAAATACAGATATAGTATTTTATGCGTAATAAGTATTCAAAAAAAAAAATGTTCATAAAATGAAAGACAAAATCAAGTTAAATGTACATTATACAAGAGCTTAATCTACCTATTGCAGGGCTATCTTTAGGCCTGAAATGTTGTCTAAATTATTAATTAGACATTAATTAGAGATTAGACATTAATATCTTATATACTTATATGAGCAAGATTAATTCACATAGGTCTACCATAGATCACTTTCTAATATCACAAAATCTTCATGAACATATTGTTAAATACGAATCAATTGATGAGGGTGATAACCTTTCTGATCATAACCCTGTTAAAGTGACTCTTAAAATTCCAATTGAATATTATGACCGGTCTGCTTTAAATGATAATCTCGGTGGTCCAACTCTGAGATGGCATGACGCAAAATCAGGTCAATTAAATCAATATAAAACCACCCTAGATCTACTTTTATCAGATATTACCGTTCCCATATAAGCTTTACACTGTAAAGATTACTCCTGTTCGACCCATGATAAAGCATTAGAACAATATTTTAATGAATTAGTTATTGCAAGTATTGTAGCTGGTCAATTGTGCATACCCTGTTCAAATATTCGCACTAAAACTTCAATAATTCCAGGCTGGAATGATGAAGTAGAAGAATACCGAAACACCGCTATATTCTGGCACAATATCTGGAGAGAAAATAACTCTCCAAAATCAGGCCATCTGGCTGAGATCAGAAGACGAACGCGGGCAAAATATCATTATGCTTTAAGATATATCCAAAAAAATAAAGACAAAATATGTGCAAATAAGCTAGCAGAAAACTTACTAAATAACAAAACAAGAAATTTCTGGCAGTCTATTAAAAAGATCAGTGGTTCATGTAAGTCAATTCCAAACAATGTTGACGGCCAAATTGGATCCGAAAATATCAGTAATGTATTTGTCAATAAATATAAAGATTTATTTAATAATGTATCCTTCAATATCAACGATATACATGAATTAAATGTTAATATACAAAAAGATATTTACGACAAATGTAAATCGGGTTCATGTTCTCATAACCATTCTATCAAAATTGATGAGGTTTTGAAAGCCGTAAAAACATCTAAAACTTAATAAAAAGGATGGATGCCTGGGCCAATCAACTGATCATTTGAAGAATGGTAGTAATCTATATTTTGTTCACCTATCACTTATGCTAACTTCCTTGTTATATCATGGTTATATACCCGAAAACTTTGTATTGTCTACAATTATATCTATTCCCAAAAACAGGAAACGATCACTAAATGATTCTGAAAACTATCGTGGAATTACTTTAAGCAGCATTATCAGTAAATTATTTGACTGGATCTTACTGATCCGTCATCAAGATGTTTTCCTTAGTTCAGATCTGCAGTATGGTTTTAAACCAGGTCACTCCACAAGTCACTGTTCTTTGACAATAGATGAGACAATCCGGTATTATAATGAAAATAACTCAGACATTTATGTGTGCCTAATGGGCGCTAGTAAGGCTTTTGATCGTGTCAGTTATATCAAGCTGTTTAGATTGTTGAAATCGAGGGGTTTGTGCTCCCTCACTATTAGATTTCTCCTTCGCATGTATGTTAACCAAGAAATTCTAATAAGGTGGGGTAATTATACAACTAAAACTTTTAATGTAACTAATGGAGTAAAACAAGGAGGCGTTTTATCACCTATCCTATTTACTGTTTATTTAGACGAATTGCTCGTTCGATGCAAAAATAGCAAATTCGGTTGTTCTATCGGCAATGTATATGTTGGAGCTATTGTGTATGCTGACGATGTCACTTTCGTAGCTCCAAGTAGACAGTCTCTGATTATGCTGCTATCCATAGCAAATGACTACTCTAAAGAATACAGTTTAAAATATAACCCTGATAAGAGTAAATTACTTATGTTTCCTTCAAATGGCAAATCTATCACTTGTAAAGATATTTATATCGATGGTCAAAAGGTGCAGAATATTAACACTGAACCTCATCTAGGTAATATTCTATGTTGTAAATTAAAAGATAATTTTATTGATAAATGTGTTAGAAATTTTTTAACTAAAGTAAATGTAACTCTCAAGAATTTTCATTTTGTTCAGAGCTCTATCAAGTAAGATTTGTTTAAGACATACTGCATGGCTTTATATGGATGTCCTTTATGGGTCATAACGCACAAATCAATAGGGAGATTTTATTGTGCTTGGCGTAAGAGTGTCAGGAGGCTGCTCAATTTACCAAATCGCACCCATAATGCCTTACTACATTTAATTTGCAATGATTTTACAATAGAAGCTCAGCTTCAAAAACAATGTATGAAATTTATCAGCAGTATATTAAAAAGTAAATATGAATGCACGCACATCTGTGCTCTGCATGCTCTGCATGGAAGTAAATCCACTATTTGTAATAATATTAACTATATATGTTACAAATATAATGTTAATAAATATAATATTAGCAACATGAATGTAAATGATATACTAAAAACGATTAATAAATATGACACTGAACATAATAGTGTAAATGATGTATTGGTAGCTAATAGAATAAGAGACTTTATTTTATTTAGAGACTCAAAACAAGACCCTGACATTGACGAAATCATTGATCATTTGTGTATTTCATAAGAATGGTGTCTAGTTTTAACTGTAAATACCTAATGAACTATTGTACATATCATGTAACTTTTCATTGTTATTTTTTCCCCTTTGAAAGTGTACAATTAAGTACGAATAAAGATATTATATTATTATTATTATTATTAACTTATCCAGGCCATAATCAACTCTCGATGGCATTGTTAGCCTGCTATATTTACTGGATTAGAACCCGGTCTGCTGCTTCTGATTAAATAAAAAAATGGATAATCGAGACTGTTTTTTATCGTACAGACTTTAGTAATGATGATCGAGGCTAGGCCCAAAATTCAATTGCTAAATAATGGTTCAGAGTGGATCAACTTGACTGAAATTTTCAGCAAATTCCCTTTACATTATGTAGTTTTTATACGCCCACATTTTCATGTGGACGTATATTGTCGTCGCCCCTGTCCGTCCGTCCGTCCACAATTGTTTGTGGACACTCTACAGGTCACAATTTTTATCCGATTTCAACGAAACTTGAAATATAGCTTTATCTCCCTAAGATCTCGGTTCCTGTCGATATTGGCA